AACTTCTTTGCCTCATGCTTATCAAAAGAAATTTCTCTAAAGAGTCCATTTGCTATCTTACTTCCGAATCATGCCATTGTCAGCATTAAACCAACAAAGCTCAATAGGTTACAATATAATCCATTTATAGTGGGGTATTATCATGCAAATAATTCAAGGTGTCTAACAATCAACTAAAAGGGGGATGGATGGATAACACCACCCATTGGAACCACATAGAAAAGAAACCTTGAAATTTACTTTTCAAATCAGTAATGCAGCTTTTCTGCTCTTTTGAGACACAGAGATGGTTGTGGGTTGAGGATCCACAGAAGTAACACCCTCTAGCAATGCTATGGTAGCTGGACAGGGATGTGGGGAAGAATTGGATTCCATTTACATTGAAAGGTGAAAATTCATATTTTCCCGAAACAATACACAAATTGAAAAACAGTTATCCTCCGAAATGCACAGTCTTCTAGATCGTGCAATGCAGTCTCCAGCCACGTTATGTGCACAAAAATCCATATAGAGAAAAGTGTGCATAAAATGCATATATTAGTGAAAATGGCCTGCAAAAATGAAACATATTAAGTCAAAATTGCTGTGCAAAAGTGTATGTATTATGAAACTTTGCATGAAAATATGTATAACTTATGAGAAACTTATACCAATTTTAATTTTTAAAAAAATCATAAAGTGATGTGCACGTGTGGAGAAATGAACCTAAGGCTGGATAAAATGAGAAACTGAGGACACATTCACACCATACATTTAAAGCACTATAGCACCACTTTAAGCAGCAAAGGCTTGCCCCAGAGAATCCTGGGAACCATGATCTGTTAAAGGTGCTAGGAGTTGTTAGGAGATCCCTATTCCCCTCACAGAGCCACAATTCCAATAGTTCCCTTTAAATATGGATTGATTGTTAAGCCACTCTGAGAAGTGTTGCTCTGTGAGAGGACTAGGGGTCACCTAACAACTTTCAGCACCCTTAGCAAACTACAGTTGCCAGAATGTGGACTCAGTCATATGCGCTTTTAATTGCAGTCTGATCCAGTGCTATGACAGAAACTAAAATTGACATCTTCACCCAACCTTAAGCCCTATCCATTCTTAAGAAAATCAGCCCTGAGTGCTCACTGGATGGACAGATCCTGAAGCTGAGGCTCCAATACTTTGGCCACCTCATGAGAAGAGAAGACTCCCTGGAAAAGACCCTGATGTTGGGAAAGATTGAGGGCACAAGAAGAAGGGGACGACAGAGGACGAGACGGTTGGACAGTGTTCTCGAAGCTACCAGCATGAGTTTGACCAAGCTGCGGGAGGCAGTGGAAGACAGGAGTGCCTGGTGCGCTCTGGTCCATGGAGTCACGAAGAGTCAGACACGACTAAACGACTAAACAACAACAAGCCCAAGCATCTTTTAAAGCAAGGAGCTCCTGAGGCAAAGGACAAGATGGTGACCTCCTAATTTCAGATGAAGAAGCTGAGTGGACTGGCAGCTGAATCTTACTTCAGTGCAGTTGAGTGCAGCGAGACAGTTTAGTGAGTTTATAACAGGCCTGTTGTGCACATAGCTTTGGTCTCCAACAGAAAGTGTTTCCTAGGAGGCTCAGGAGGATCAGGTGTAGTGAACATTGCCACCCGAGGCAATTGCTTCACTCTGCCTAATGATAGGCCCGGCCCTGTTAGGACACATTCCCAGCCAACCGGATTAGCTGGACTTTTATATATGGAGTATTCAGAATATGCAGTGGGATATTAAAAGGAACCAAGAAAGCAGTGGGAAGGGAAGTTGACGTTCGATGTATTGTTTAATTGGCTAATGTATAAATGTGGAAAATGTGTAATAGAAAATGTTAATAAAAAATGATTTTTAAAAAAAATGATTAGCCAAATTTTTAGTACTCAAGCTTAAACCAGAAAAGAAAGTGGGAATGTTTTGACCCTTTTTAGATTGGATGAAATTTAATTGTGTTTTGATGGGGGTGGCTGGCTCAACTGCTTTTCTTCCACACACATATGCATACACAGCATCAAACCCACAAGCTGAAGGAAAGCACATCTATAAACAAGAAAAGCTAATTTTACAAGCTAGATGGGTCCGTGTGTATCTCACCTGCCTCCCCCACCCCCATCTGAATCCCGTCTTCCTTGCTGAGCTGCAACTTGGAGAGAGGGTTTTTTTTACGGCGGAGTTGTAAAAACCTGGAAAACAGGAGAGTTTATGGTGGAACCACTAGCAGACCTTTAACTATAGCAGTATTCATGGTTACCACTACAAGGAAGGTATTATGTTGGGAGGGTAGTAAAGTTAAACCTGCCCTCGGGGCATTCTGAAATGTTAACGGCTCGTGCATACACTTAGGTTTTCAGAGCACAGGTGTGTGTCGTGGAAGAGGAGGGTGCCTAGAACAAAGCCGCCACCAGATTATTTTTTTGTTGTGTTGTTTTTTTAATGTTTTGCTCTGCGCTGGTGGAAACATTTCTCTACTTGTGAACAACTACATTTGATTAAAAGCTGTCAGATTTATCTACTTAGGAAGAGGGAAGAAATATGTGCTTCCCCCTAGAAAGGAAATCAATGTGTCTCTTTGATAGATGCCGACTTGGAAAGCAGGGTGAGTGTCCCTTTAAATGGCCAAGGAAGCAAGCTGGCCAGACACTACCATTAGCCAGGGACATAATTGTAGTGGAGGAAAGCTGGTCTTTATATCGCATAATCCATGTTTACAGAATTGCTTTCTGAGGGCAAGGCAACGAGACTATTCCAAAGGAAGGAATTGGTGATGGGAGGAGGCAGGATAGAGGGACCAATCAGGGAGGTGCATGTGCAGAATGGACCTTCTGAGGAAAGCTTCTGATTGGCTGATCCAGGTTCCATTAGGGCCTTCCCCTAGGGGATGGATTGTTCAGCGGCCTGTAATTTACTGATCCAACCAGTAAAACTAGAGTTCTTGTATGTAGCCAGCATCAATGTACCGGCAGCCAGTAAACTCTGCCTTGCTCCATTATTCCATTGATCAGTTTTTAGCGGGAGAGGTTATCAAATCCACAGGCTGCCTTGCATCTCCCATACCCACCCAGTTTCCTCCGTACCAATATTCCCATGTATGATGTACTGATCGTTTGCACCTTGACCCAATCTAGAAAAGAAATAAGAAATCTTTTGAAATAAAGAACACTGTAATAATGTCAGGGCCTTATTTAATTCGATGGTTTTTGTCTTCTAGGGCACAGTGCTACAACACCCCCTCCTCACCTCCAAAATCCTCTGTTCCATCATGAGGACTTGAAACTTCCTTGAGGTGTGCTATCACTACAAATTTGAATGTGGCTGCACCAGTTAATTTAAATGACGTGACAGAAAGGCTCAGCAACCTTCCAGAAAGTGAAAAAGTTATCAAGTATCTCCATTTGTATTAATAGCCTCCCCATCTCTTTATGCAGAATGCAGCAGCTAGACTGGTGGCCGCCGAGTGGCCGCCAAGACCACATAACTCTGGTCCTGCAAGACCTACAATGACTCCCAGTACATTTCCGAGCACAATTCAAAATGTGGGTTCTGACCTTTAAAGCCCTAAATGGCGTCTCTACCACCATCTTACTGCCTGGACACTGAGGTCCAGCTCCGAGGGTCTTCTGGCAGTTCCCTCCCTGCAAGAAGAGAGGTTACAGGGAAGCAGGCAGAGGGCCTTCTTGGTAGTGGCACTCACCCTGTGGAATGCCCTCCCATCAGATGTCAAGGAAATAAACAACTGAAGGCAGTCCTGTTTAGGGAAGTTTTTAATGTTTGATGTTTCATTGTATTTTTAATATTCTGTTGGGAGCTTATTATTATTATTATTATTATTATTATGATGATGCAGTGACAGATAGAAATCAAGCACAGCTGTCCTACTGCATTTATGGCCTCACTGCCCATTGCCCCTGATGCCACACATATTACATACTGAAATACTTTTCTTCTTATTTCGCTTGCGCACCATCACAGATAGTGTCGGCTTTTTGATTAGAAGAAGGTACAAGCAATCTTATTTATGAGAATTAATCTCTCCGACATCATAAAAGCCAGGAATACACTATATGTTTTATAATGAAATTGGGCTTTAAAAAAGAAGAAAAGAAAAGAAACTTTCTAGCCCCAGCTCAGGAAGTCAACATTGTGTTAACATTTCTTGCAATACATAAATGGTGCCAAAACCTATTACAGTTGTAGTAAATTTTGATTACTGGAGTTGTTTGTGACTTTATGTCTAGAAGATAAAGATAATATTGAGAATCGCCTCCTTCTTTTTCATATATAAATTACTTCCATAAAATACTATGTTTTGAAAACAGAGAGAGATGGTTTTATTGCTAGGCTGGAGTAGACTTGACAGTAAAGTTGCAATCCTTGGGAGTAAGCCCAGCTGAACACAGACAGGTTTACTTCTGAGTAAACATGCACAGAATTGCATTTTAATGCTACAGTCCTAAGCACACTTAATGTGAGTAAGCCCTACTAAACCAACAATCCTGAGTAAACATGCAAAGGAGGAGTGTACTATAAATGTGTCAAAATGAGCAACTACAAATCTAGTTTCTCTATCCTTTCCTCCTCCAGATCATCTAGTTCAGCCTTCACCAACCTGGTGTCTTCCATAAGTTTTTGCTTCCAACCAGCATGATGGGAGTTGTAGTCCAAAACATCTAGAGGGCACTAGGATGGGGAAGGCTGATCTAGTACGATTTGCCACATGCTTTTCACATTTCTCCAACTCTGCTCCAAGCCATTAGCTGGTGGGTGCGGGGTGGGTGGCATGAAAAGGGGCAGAGACAGAGAAATAAGGGTCACTGTGACCAGGATCCATGCATAATAATGAAGTGATCACAATCCTGAGCAAGCTTTTTAAAAGGACTAACCAAATTCGGGAAGGATAACCTCTCCCAATGGCTCTTCGCTAAACTGAACCGACATGAGCCTATACTACCAAGGAACATGTTAGGCACAAACATCCAGTGGTCAGCATGTGGCTCTTCGCATTTGTCAAACATTCTATTATTATGGGAGCCCAGATTTCTGGAGCCATGTGGTAAAAGGTAAAGGTACCCCTGACCGTTAGGTCCAGTTGCGGACGACTCTGAGGTTGCACGATCATCTCGCTCTATAGGCCGAGGGAGCCGGCGTTTGTCCACAGACAGCTTCCGGGTCATGTGGCCAGCATGACTAAGCCACTTCTGGCAAACCAGAGCAGCGCACGGAAACGCTGTTTACCTTCCCGCCAGAGCAGTACCTATTTATCTACTTGTACTTTGACTTGCTTTCGAACTGCTAGGTTGGCAGGAGCCAGGACTGAGCAATGGGAGCTCACCCCGTCGTGGGGATTTGAAGCGCCGACCTTCCAATTGGGAAGGCCTAGGCTCTGTGGTTTAGACCACAGCACCACCCACGCTGAAAAGGTTAAATGAAGAATAAAAGAATGAATGAATGAATACAGCATAATAAAGAATAAGAGCCATTGTTGCACATGGTGTAAATTTATTTGTTAATATATAAGGTCTCTGCAAGCAATCATTTGAGACCTCCAGCAAGAGAAATTTGTCCCTTCCCTGGGTGGGAAAGAGAGAGGAGAAAAAGTCCTGGGGAGAGGGAGGATGGTATATTTAGGTCTGGCTCCATTTTTTGCCTCCTGCTCTTACCAATAGATTACCTCTGAGGGAATGCAGCTCTCAACAGAAATTCCCCCCTCCCTTGCCCATGATTTAAATCAGGATCATGGAGCCTGGAGTGGAGACTTTCTGGATGCCAAACATATGTTCTGCCTTTGGGATATGGCCCCTTCCTAATTTTGGCACCCCGGCAGAGCTACCTAGATCACCTATATATGTTTGAGCCATTGTGGATACTTTAGGAAATGCTCCTCTGTGCAATGTCAGGAGGTCATTCTAGGCTAGGAGGGTTTAATAAATAACTATGGCGCTGTGCTGCTCTCTGCAAATGTTCAAAATTCTTCCTCCCTGCACCCTCCCTGGAAACTTGTTCACAGTTTCCAAAAACATGGGATTCTTGAAGCTGGCAATGAATGGCAAACTAAGTTGGTCCTCAGAAGTTTCCTGATGCGCTGCAAGAGTCTGCATCCGTCGTCAATTGTTCCAGCTTTTCCGTATATCTGGAAAGCACGACAACAGCATTTCTGCAGGATGGCGGGGTGGGGGAATAAAAGGAAGATTGATAAAGCAAAGCAATTGGAGTTATTTCCTATGCATGAAATTGATTAAATGCTTCACTAAATGGCTTATAAATTTGCCTCTCATATTTCTGTCACCCACTGAAAAAGATTACAGTGAGCCCGTCGATGACCGTGTTGTATACAATACCAAATTACAAAGGGTTGTAAAAACTAATGTTTTGTTTAAAGTTTTGAGCAGGACCATATGCCTTCAGTGACCTTGAGTAAGCTATTCTAATTCAAAACATTTTATCCACAAAAAGTGGATAAAAGGGAGGGGGGTGAAAAACAGAAGAGTGTGGAATCCATCTGCATAATAAACCCCAAACCCGTGTGGTTTAGTCACTGCGTAGAACTTTTCTGAACTTCTACAGAGGAAGGAATGTTGGGCATTTGCACATTTATCGCATATCATGGAGACAGCACTTGAGAACTATGTGGAAGGGCCCTGGTTCAGTGGCAAAGCATCTGCTGTGCATGAAGGTCCTCGCAATTCAGGTAGAGCTGGGAGTGTCCCCATAAAAAGTTTCCTATCTGCCTAAATTTTCTGCAAGGAAGGGCCATCCCTTCCAGCCCATCTTCCAACTCAGTTCAAAGTGAGATGCCCCACCTGGAGCACTGTGTCCAGTTCTGGGCACCACAGTTTAAGAAAGGTGGTGGTGGTGATTGACAAGATGGAACGTGTGCAGAGGAGGGCAACCAAGATGGACAAGGGTCTGGAAACCAAGCCTTATGAGGAATGGTTGAGGGAATTAGGTATCTTTGACCTAGAGAAGATCTAGAGGTGATACAATAGGCATCTTCTTATATCTGAAGGGCTGTCACAAGGGCTTCTTTCCTGTTACTCAAGAGGATAGGATAATTATTATTATTATTATTATTATTATTATTATTATTATTATTATTAGTTTATACCCACCCATCTGTCTGGGTTTCCCCAGGCCCGAACCAATGATAAGATGGAGATTCTGAGTAAACATTAGGAAGAACTTTTTAGTGGCAAGAGCTGTTCAACAGTGAAATGGGCTACCTTGGAAGGTGACAGACACTCCTTCGTTGGAGATTTTTAAACAGAGGTTTAATGGCCATCTGTCAGGGATTCTTTAGCTGTGGTTCCTGCATTGCAATACATTTGACTAGATGACCTTGGTGTCTCTTCCAACTCTACAATTCTATTGCTCTACACTGAGGATTGTCTCTTCCTATGTGTACTTACCTGGACCTAGAGATCATCCTCCAAAGCCCTTTTTGGGTGCACCCAGCAAGCAAAGTGTGAGGGGTAACTATTGGAGAAATCCCTTTCAGTGTTAGCTCCCTGGCTGTGAAATATTCTCCCTGGCACCCTCTTTGTGGTCTTTTCAGTACCAGGTTGAATGCCTGTTGTTTTGTTTATTTCTCAGGGTCTTTTAAACTCTTCATCTTCCAAACATTGTTTAATGCAGGTCTTGGTGTTGCTGAATTAACTCACCATGAGTGCCTAGGCTCCGTATTTGCCTTTTCCTTTGAGGGTGGAATCTCTTTATATCAGAGAAGGGGACCCTCAGGCTTTGAGGCCAAATGGGGTCCCTGCAAGCCTTTATATCTGACCATTGGAACTCCCTACAGCTCATTTCCACAGGCCACACTCCTCAGTAGAGATGGGGGAGAAAATCAATTCAGTTTGCATTAAAAGGAGAAACTACCAAATGCATTGAAACAAAATGCAATACCGAAACAATATCCTGCACTATTCAAAGTTCACTGAATTTTGCGAGGCAGATCTCCAACCATGTGCATAAATGGGGGGGGGGGTTGCTTGCAGAAATGTGTCTGTAAGTCAAAAGTGCATACAAAATCTGAAGGTTAGGAAAAATTATCTCTAAAATGCTGACAAATTTTCATTTTCATGAGGAGAGAGAGAGTCTCCCAGAAGATGGCCACCATAGACCCAGGGCAACAGGTGTCCATGGAGACTGTTGGAGTGGGAGGCAGGGAGCCAAAAGTAGGTGGAGCCAGAGCTGATGACAGGCAGAGCCAACTAATTCTAGTTTTGTCCCCATCCTCCTGCCTGTTGAGTTCTGCAAGAGACATTACTAAGACAGAGGAGGAACCTGTCAGACAGCGCTATCCTCTGCCCTGATTGTAAGTAGGAAGGCAGGCAGGTGGGGGCGGGGCTGAGAACAAGCTTAGGTTAGTGGGCAGTGCCCCATTTGCTATAATGGGCCACCCTTCACTGCCAGGAGGGTCTTGTTCCACAAGGTGGGAGTGCTACTGCCTTTTCCCAATGTTGCTTTTAGCTGCTTTTCCTGCATCCAGATGACTTTGTCCCTAAGGCAGAGAAAGAGAGTGCTTTTGGTAGGGGCAGACCAGGTACATCTATTCTACTGTTCTCCTCTGCATATGCTCTCTGTCTGGGAAGGAGGGCAGTGTCCCAGGATGAAGCCAGGTGCTTCTTCTTCAGGGGTCAGTTTCAGACACTTCCACCCACAACAATCTGGCCCCCAGGTATCTAATACAATATCCTTCTAAGTCCCATTTTATATATGCCCTATATAGTGTCAATACTAGAAGATGACTTTTCCCAGTTACCACCCTATGCAGGGTGCAGTGCCAAATCCAACTGATCCCAGTGTTCTTCCCTGGTTTCACCAGTTGTGGAATGCCCTCCCCAGCAAGGTGTGCCTGTCTCCATCATCATTAACTTTCAGGAGGAATTTGAAAACATTCCCGTTCACGCTTGCACTTGGTGACTGTTCTGGCCAGCCCTGTGACCACTGCATGGAATAATGTGGGGGGGGGGGGTTAACAGAAACTGCTTTTAGATGCTTTTAATTGCAATAGTTTTTTGAATGTTTTAAATGCTTTAGAATGTTTTTGCTTTTTTGTTGTTTTTAACTTGTGTTTCTGTTTGCTGCCCTGGGCAGGAGGTCTTTCAGAGTCCTTTGACATTAAGCAGGCAGCCTCACTAAGTGGTTTTAGATGCAAGCCAACCCAGAACATATAATTCAGTTACCTATCTTGTTTCTAAAAGTTTTACTGATTTTATCTGTGCTTTAATTATAATTGTCTTACTTATATTTGTTTTTTTAATAGTTTTGTGGCTTTTAGCTGTGTCTTATCTGCAGTTTTATTGTGTACACAGCTTAGAGAGCTGTTTGATTAGGGAGTTTATAAATCTTTCTAAATCAGAATAAATAAATAAAGCATAGCCTGTTACATGCACAAACAAAAAAAAATCAGATGTGGTCCAAAGGGGCCCAGATTCTGCATTCAAATAAGCAATGTGTAGATCTAACACGGTACAGAAAATAACTCCCCACTTCAACCAATAACATCCATAAGTCTTAAGAACATGTGCAGCTGAAGGTAACATGATACCCATCACGAATCAGGACTAAATTCCCTCCCCCGCCTCCTTAGAAGAATTCCACATTTGCTGTCCATATTCCAACAGGCTCTTGGGTTCAGGAACAGAAAGGGGGATTCTCTTCCTCCCTCCCCCGCCCCCAATGACTACTTTTGTTTTCTTTGAGATGGAGCTGTAAGCAGGAGAATTTAAGAGATGCCAGTCATCAGGATGTGACACCGACTCAACGACTTCAAGTGTTTTAACTGACATAATTAATATTTTTAAGGGAGCCACTGACATCATAAGCTCTGTACACAGTCTTTACCTTTTCAACAGGCACAGTTAATGCTCTGTGACAAAGTATATTATTTCTTGCCTGTAATCCATTCATGAAAAGGTCAATCTCTTACCATTATTTTGTCAACGGAGAAGTGTTACCTTTAGGCAACAAGTTAATTTTCAAATTAAAGAAGAAGGAGTTCTTAAACTGTTGGATTTTTTTTTTTTTTTTAAAAAAAAAGCAACAACCCACAACCCTGCTTGTTATTTAATGAACAGTCCTAGGTCGGTGCAGGATTTATGTTTAAGGAAAGCATGTGTTAGGAATATGCAAGAGAAATACACTTTTAAATGCTCAGACGATTTTTTTAAATCTATGGGTGTGGGGAGAAAGCCTTTGAAGAAGTCTCTCAGCTCTAAAGCAAACAGCCTTTATTTAAAATTCCTACTGAGCCCCCCCCCATCCCACCTCCCACCCCAAGTTCTTTGATTATTCAGACCTTGGCCACACTGATATTATTACTAGTTTTAGTTTTTTTTACTTTTATTTATATCAAAGGTGAGGAACATTTTTCAGCCTAGGGGCCACATTCCCTTGCTGACAATCTTTCAGGAGCCACATGCCAGTGGTGTGCAGAATAAAAGGCAAAAATGGGTGGGACAGAGGAAAAGTGACAATTGTGACTCTTAGCTTTGTATAGTAGGATACACACACACATATTCCCACCTTCATCCAGGTAGAACTGGGATATGTCTGGGGAGGACCCCAAGAGAGAAACAGAGAGACCTGGAGGGTCATATTTGACCCCCTGGGGCTGAGGTTTACCAACTCTGGTTTATACAACTAACACAGCCCTAACCTAACAATGACTCCCTTAAACCAGTAACCTCTATAAGTCTGTAGAACATGTGCAGCAGGAAGTAACATGACACCCAATGTCATGAGTCAACATGCATTGGTTTTGTTCATTTTCAATCGACAGGGGTGTCAGAAACAAAATCCCCTTAGGTTCTCCTAGGCAGAGAGTGAGATCATAGACTTACCTTATAGCCTGGTAATTTTGGGGGGAGTCGCCGTCTCCCCAAGAGCGTTTGCCAACAGTGCATGTATGATGGCCACACTTTATTACAAATCTCTGTGTACAGCCATCAGGGCTATAAGATTGACCAGGAGGGAGGGAGGCGCTAAATTCTGCAGCATCAATCTTCGTGCAGTGATAGAACACAGGAAACAATATTTCAGAATCTACAAACCACGTCTCATGATACGGACATATGTCTGCGTAGCCAATACTGAGCTAAATGGAGCAATGGTCTTGACTTGGTAGAAGGTAACTTCCTAAATTACTAGGTTTATTTTATTTGTTCAAATATTTATCAACTGCATTTTCATAGGAAATACAAGAAGGCAATGTATTTAAAATATTCCACAAAACTGCAGTAATATCAGTAAGAACTGGTTGGTAAAGAAAAGAAGAAAAACTGGTTGGTAAAGATAAGATTGTGGGTCAAAGACCAGTCTGAAAAAATACATTTTTTTAAAGAAAGCAGGGATGACTCCTGCCAGCTTTCTATTGACAAGGAGTTCCTAAGGCACACTAAAGGCTCAGCTCTTGGTAAAGGTCAACTAACCCTCAGGGACATGGGGGACTGCCCAAAGTGCCCCTTCAGAGAGTCTCAGCGATTGAGGTGGAACATAAAGAATCAGGTGGTCCTTAAGCTAATTTGGCCCCAAGTTGTTCAGGGCTCTGTGAATTAACACAGCAACCTTGATCCTGCCCTGGTTCCTAATCCCCAAGAGTTGCAGCTATATTCAGACTTGGACGCCACAAGTTACACAGTGCTGGATCAACACCCAACACTTCCGGGCAATGCCATGTCCATCATTTCCCTTTGCTGCCACTGTGACCTGTAGGGTTAGACATTCATCCAGGTGCTTGAAGAGTTAAGCCCTCCTCTTGTGGTGAGCTGGACCGCCCCAGATCCCACGTTCAAAGTGCCCCAGAAGCCTTGCGCCATCTTCATCCAATAACTTGTCTTGTAATTGCTTTACTGATTGCTCATGTCATCGTGTTTTAGTATATATAGCTCACCCCTCCTCGCCCTCCCCTTGCGCTCTCACACAGCCGCCAACAAGCCAGGGGAGCCATTCTTTATTCATTGTAACTCCCCAACTGCCCTGTGCCAGGTTGCGCTCCAGGCCCCTCTGATAAACATCAGCAGATGATTGGACACACACATTCTTAACATGGCTGACCCATGGCATCTTAGGAGGCAACAGGGAACCTGTCATTATGTGTACAATGCTCTTCTTTCTTTCTAGCCTTATCTTTCCCCAGATGAGGCCGAGATTCTTATTAACTCATTAATGACTGAAGATGTCAGTAAAGACAGCGGTGGCAGAGAAGGCAAAGAGGGCTTGCCTTGCTTATTTTAAGTCGGGTTGTAATTAGCAAAGTGTTAACTTCTCTCAAATTGGACAGCTGAAATCATGTGAATTTTATTTTTTTTTAAGAGCAGCTTGCAAGGCACCAGCATGGAGCAAACAGGGATATAGTTTGCTTGCTCCATCCTGTTTGTTAAGGAAAAGGGTGAAACAAAATATGCAAGGGGAGATTGCAACCTTTTTTAGGGGGTGAGGAAAGAGAGAACACTAGCATATCAAGCTGTGCATAGCTGGTTGGCAAGTTTTACCAGAAGGCTATTGAGACTAAATTCTTTCTTTATCATACTGTCCCAGGAATCCAAAATCTTACATAACATTCTATAGCAAATTGTTTGCTCTAAACCTCTTCCGTTTGCTTCCAAGTCTGAAGTTGGAATGTCCCATGGACAGTTTCTTGTTTACTTCCTCTCTCTTCTTCTTATTTATGTGTTTAGTTTTCTTTCCTCTGATCAACACCTTGGAGTTGCCAATGGAGCAACCCTGGAGAAAAGTGATAGGAAAGCAGCTGCCATCTTAAAGCTGCCATTTCATAAATTATTACTACTCGCCATAGATCCTATTAGGCTGCAATCCTAACCTCTGGCCAGCAATGGCAGGGCTTTGATGGCAAATGCCATAATTTCACTATGCACTATATCAAGAAGTCCTTTTTGTCAGGCCTGAATTTCCCACCATCCAACTTCACTGTTGGATTCTAGTGCTCTTCCCTCAGTGTTCTTTCATTCTACAGAATGATGCTGGGCGCCAGTCCTCAGTGGCTGACTCACCTCCTTTCACTCTGATTGGCTCCAATCAGCACAAAGGGTGAGAAGACTAATTCTCAGTCACTAAAGCCCTCTCCTTTCATGATGATTGGGCAGCTCTTGCATGCTTAAGACAAGGACCCTGCTGCAGAAATAGTAATGGATCTTTGACCCACCCTGCCACAACTCCGGACAAGCACACCTCTCCTCCTGACCCAGAGACCACCTGTTCCATGAGTTCTACCATTGCAGAAGCATCTTGCTGACCTTGCATGTATTTTTATATAAGCATTCACTGTTTAAAGAGAACTAGGAGCCCATAATCAAGTCAACGGTGGAAGAGCGGAGGGAGAATTCTGATGTCAACGTGAAGAAAGGTACAGAAGCTACTGGAAGATACAGTAAAGAAGCCCATGACAAGTCATGATAAATGGGTCGTTATAAAATTCATGTTTAGGCCGCACCGGTCTGGGGATAATGCCATTCGTCATGGCAACACAAGGGCACTAATGAGCCCTCATTGCATATTCATGGCTGTGGAGTCTGTGTGTGTGTGTGTGACTCTCTGTTCCCCCCCTCCCCATCCTAAACCAATGCCTAGTAAATATCCTCTACCTCTAAGCTGAAACTCGGCGTTGACTCTCTCTTATTTGTGATGTTGCAGCAATTATACTGTAAAAGTGCTGCCCAAGATTGATTGCTTGGATCTGTGGTTCAATTGTAAATTAGAAATACACATCCTCCCTGGGGATCCACAGCCCCCTATTTGTGATTAAGAAAAAAGCCCCATAATAGACTAATAGCCAAAGTTCCCTCTCTTTTACTTTCAGGCAATTAGCTTGATGAAATGGCCTCTTTCTGTGCACGCTAGAAGTGTAAACCGATATCATAATGAAGTATATGATGTTTATTCTATTATTTTCACCTTCTTGTGTATGGGGAACGAGGCAATGGGGGGGGGAACAGGGAGAGAGAATGCATAAGTAATGGGCTGCTTTGTGTGGTGACTTTACTAAGAGTAAAGCAAAGATCTTCCTGAAAGAGGCAGGGAGCCTTGCTGTGGGTCTTTAAATTAAGCCAGTGAGGGTGTAGGTTTCCACTCAGAGATCCTATGCTCTGCTCCAGGAATCCTGTTCTTTTATTTTTGGAGGAAAGGGTTGAAGGGAGACCTGGAAGCTGAAAACACATCCTTCAAAGAACTTTGCATTAGCTAAACTGGCAGTTCTTCCCGCATGAGATGGGCCTCCAAGAGAAAACCCTAGAGGGGGAGAAGGGATCCAGATTTGAGAGGGCCCTGGACAATGCATCATCTGGCAGCACCCATCATAACAATGTCAAAAGAGTCTGCTGGATCAGGCTAGTAGCTCATCTAGTCCAACATCCTGTTCTCACAGTGGCCAACCAGATGTCTTTAGGAAATCCACAAGCAGGAACTGAGCATGATAGCACAGCCGCCATCCCTCCTGTAGTTTCCAGAAACTCGGCTGAGGTTGTCAGTGGGTCTGGTTTGGCTTACCTGGCTCAAAGCAGTTCTGAGTGGCCAGCAATAGGTCCTGGTCAGGGGGTGGGGCAATTGAGGAAAAGGCAAGAAAAGCCTTGTCAGGGGCCTGACTGCTGGGACCTGGAAATTACCAGAAGATGCTGGTTGCTGGCACCAGCCTTGCTAGGGAGTTCTGAAGAGTGGTGAGGTGTGGAGAAAAATCTTCCATTGTCTGCACTGAGCAGACAAGGACAGCAAATTAAAATGCACATGGCAACTGTTTGTTAAGGGTTGTTATGGGTTGTTAGGAGACCCTTATTCCCCACACAAAGTTACAGTTTTCAGAGTGGGTTAAAAATCAACCCTTCTCCCCTGTGAACTCAGAGAATTGTAGTTCTGTGAGGGGAATAGGCATCTCTAAACAACTCTTAACAAACTACAGGACACAGGATTCTCTGGGAGAAGCCATGGTTGTTCAGGTGGTATAATAGTGATTTAAAAGTATGGTGAGGTTCTGACCCTATAAAGGTGTTTTCACATATGAAGTCACCTTTTCACCAGTCTCGAAGTGTTGTTTCACACAGAAGGAAAAGCAAAGAGACTGGCTATTTGTAACACAAATAAACATTTTAACCAATGCCATCTTCGTTTTTAAGTTCTGCACTGCAAACTCCACAGAAGCAGGAGCCTCACTTGTGAAAACTCTCCTTGCTGCATGCCATATTTTTGTGTGTGCGTGTTTTGTATAAACTTGTACATCATTGTCTTTTTGCCTGACAGTCACAGCATTTAAAATATGTTGGGGGTGACACCATCCTTTCACCTAGTCCAGACATATATTACACAGAGGATGTTCTCATAAACAAGGCGCTGCAGGCTCTGATCTTATCACTTGCCTCTTCCTTCTTTTCAGCTCCATTCAATGACATGCATTTCTGCTAAACTTTGCTCCAGTTTCTGCTCAGGGGGCAGGAAGGGGGGGGGAATCACGCTAGGAGCAGCAAGCTATGCTGCAAATCAGGACGGGCAAGTCAGGTGCTGGAGGAGGGCAGCAGGGCAGCAGGCTTTGCAATGCAGTTTTCTTGCTGGTCCGAGCTAAATAAATAAATGAGGCCTTTTTGTAGGATATGTGATCTTAGGAAGCAGACATACTATATCTGCCCATTGTTCCATCTACCTCAAGGACAGGGAACCTCATGACTAGAGACTGAATGTGGCCCTCCAGACCTCTCTCCCTGGCCCCCAAGAATCTCCCCAGGCCACACCCCTTTCCACCGCAACACTCTTCTTGAGCATTTTTGGCTTGGCTGGAATGTGCCACTAAAGTCTAATCATGCCTCTTGCTTGCCTGGACGGAGGGCAGTGTGTGACTGTGTGTGTAGAAATTAACTTGCTGAACAGATATACCAGTAACACCTGTTATTCCCCTCACATTTGTTTCTGGCCCCACCCCCCGGTTAATAAAAAAAAAGTTTGCCTAGAAGTGAAAATGGCCCCCAGGCTGGGAAAGGTTTTGGATGCTTGATCGAGCTTGATAACAGTAAGATTTAGCATCGGTGCAGCTTCAAAGCACTTCCTATGCATGGTCTTCTTGTAATCCTTGCCTCTTCAGACAGTGATAAGGAACCAGCCAGCCTGCAGGTGCATAATTGGGTTAGACTGATGGGAGTTGGAGTCCACTCAATATCTGGAGGCCCACAGGCTCCCCACCACTGTTGCATGTAAAGTCCGTATTATCTCCCTCCAGCACACATTACAAATGGTGGGTGGCGGTGTCAGAGACCAAGAGAGAGGAGCTTCTGAGAGGGTTTGTGGCAGAGGCAAGACTTGAATCAGGGTCTTCATTTTTCATAACCCAGCTTCTTAGTCACTACACTGTAGTGGCTTGATGTTATGCCAGCTCAACATTGTCTTCGCTGACTTGCAGCACCTCTCCAGGGAATGTTACCTGTGCCATCTGGAGACTTAACCTGGGGTATTTGGGGTGAAAAGCATGTGTGCTACCATTGAGCTATGGCCACTTCTCTGTTGGTTGCAGTTTTGCAGAAATAATTTATAGAAAGTTAGTGGTCCCAGTGCTTAATCAAAGGACGCATGCCAAGCTATGACTCTGGATTTAGTTCTTTCACACTGATTGGCTGAAAAGCTGTGATGTCACAGAAGCCATTGGCATGTTTGCAGATCAGCTGCAGTGAGAGAGGAGGTGAGGCTGAATTTTACAGACTGATTTGGTCTAACCAGCTAGTTTTTTTGGTTGCAATTCAACTATATTTTTTAAAGTGATATATGTGTGAGGGAAGTGGCACATTCTTACTTTTTTATTCGGGCAATTTGCACAATGCTTTTCATTTTCTCCAGCAATATAACAGTTTTAAAAAGCAGATGTTAGCAACCTTTTTTTTCCCCTCCTAGTGGCAGCAACCAAGCTTTGCCAAAAGTTAATTCCTTACAATGAAATTAATCCCAGAGGTGTAAATATCTTCAAGATCTGCCAGGTCTTTTAAGATGTGCCAATGGCAAGATCAGGCAATTAGAACCGTTCTCCATAAGTGCTGGAGCCTTACAACATTAATAGATCATTTTAATGGGGGCAATTTTTAAAATTTGTATTTAATTTGCATGATTACGATGCTGAGTGTGCTGCGGACAGCTGAGTCAGGGGGAGAGTTATTGCAGCTATAGTCATTGTGTGTTGGATTCAAGGATCTGGGACAGAAGTCTAAAACTGGGCACTCTTGCATCTTCTTGGCTATATGAACATTTTAAAGAAAGTGCTTTCCAACTAATGTATGACTGAAATCAGGGATGCCAGAAGTTATCCCTTACATGGAACTGTCCTGGTCCATCTAGGCCAGTATTTTGTTGAGCAGCTGCAGCTCTCCAGGATTTCAAGCAGAGAGAGGTCTTCCTCAACTCTACCACTTGAGACTCTTTAAAAGTGGGAGAGGCCAGAGATCTAGTTTTAGGACTGTCTGCATGATTTGCCACTGATGTTTGGACCCTCCCCTTGTCTAGAGCCAACAGATCAGATTCCTCACTGGCCATCCTTCAGTGAACACCACTTGATTCCATCTCTTTCTGACCTCTCAGTACCACTGCAATGCCCACTCTAAGTGCGTTCCAGCTCCAATCGAACTGCCAGTGAATATCCACACAATCACTTGCGTGATGGATTTTGTTATCCGATCAGTTAATTGCCAAGCATGTTGTGTGTTTGTAGTACTAAAAGTGTGCTGAATATTCTACGGTTTCTACACAATGATTTTGTATTCTATACAATTATTTTGCAGACATACTATGATGCCTTTCCCCCCCAAAAAAGAAGCCACATCTTTTTATCCTCTTTGTTGTGGCCATTTCCCCTGGCTGTTGCTTTGTGGCTATTTCCCCTCTCATTGCTGCATCTTTCACCATCTTGGATTAGTCATCTAAGTGATTCCAACCAATCAGGGAACACAGGGTAAAGAGAACGTTACTGTGCCACAAAGCCAATGGGACTTAGCTGTGTGGCAAATGAAGTCATTTGGGGGCAAAAACAAATGCGGGGAATACAGATGAATGTGGGATGGGGTGTGTGTGTGTTGCAAACGGTGCCCAAAAAAATCATTATGAAAAAGAGCTGTGCATTCTTGAAATGTTCCCTAAAAATGTGACTGGTGACAAAATACTCAGAATTCAGTCCCCAGCAGCATTAACACATGCCTTTGGATTTTGTTTTCCCCCCCTTTTCCCCCCTTTTCCTTTTTTGCCTGAAAACCTTTCCAAAAATAAGACCAATTGTTCAGAATAATAATCTTTCAACAGTAGCTCATAATCCTGCCCATGTCTCTCCATTTCATTCTTGTTCATGTAAAATGTGGTCTACAGAGAACACAGACTTCAAAACATTCCTGGCTCCCTTATGCAATCCCACGTCCCCCATTTCTTTGCTGCACTAGGTGCAAATATTGGGGTCCTTCTAATACTGAGAAGGAAAATATCACATCTCTTCCCCCCCTTCCTTCCCACCTTCCTCATTGAATTTATTTTGCTTACATTTTCACAGCCCAAGGAAACAGAATGCAATTTTTTTTTTCTAATCTTCCTAATGTAATGGAATTTGTTAGGATGAAACATGAGAACTTTGAACAACGAATTTGCAGTGTCGCTTCCCCCCGGAGGAAACGCCATTTCTGCTGTCTGTAACCGCTTTCATCTCATACAAGATTGTTTGACTTCTGCCACACTTTCTCAGCTCTCCAGCCAAGGATTCTTTGCCTTCCTCTCCATCTCCTTTCTAGTATGAGCTGCTGTTTTTCATTTCCACCACCCCTCCCCCCCTAAAAAATAAAACCATTCTGAAGAGGATTAGAAATACGAGCTCTTCAGGCCGTGCGCACCGCATCTTTGAGGAAATTCTCCAAGGAGATGTGCATGTTTTCAAGTTGCTGGAGTGGGAATCCCATTTGATAATGGAAAAGTGCTCCAAGGTATGAATTGTGCCTCTGATGTTCCTCAACATGCACGTCTGAAGTCCGTAGCCACTGAACTTTCTTAAGGCTGGGGTTTTTGAAATTTGTTTTTCTATCCATCTCGCCAGACAAAATTTCCAGGTCTGGGGATGCAGACAAGCAGTGATTTGTTTTGGTTTTCCTCCTCTGAGAAGTGGCTTCAGAAGTCATAATGGGACGTGCAAGTTTATCGCTTGGGGGGGTGGAATTTAAGCGCAAGGGGCCATTCAAAAATCAGACTCCCGCTCCACTTACAGTCCAAAGCGATACAGTTCAAGAAGACTTTTGCCACTGCTTCTGCTGTTTCGGTGAACTAACATCATTGTCCTTGCCAGAACCTCAGTGAAGAATGTGGATCTGTTCTTTGTCGAAGAAGCTGCAAAAGAATTGTGCCCTTTAAAGAGAGAAACAAGCCCCAAATGCATGGGGCAACTTTCTAAAAACCAAACCCGTCTTCCTCAGCATGTTAAGATTTCCCCTCTCCCCTTCCTCAGTTTTGTTTCAGATATATGCAGGTTTTTTGCAAAGCTCCAACTCAATGTTACCTTAATACAGGTAACTGCATGAACTTGCACATTGCCCTGCTGATCAGGCCAAAGGCCCATCTAGTACAGCTTCCTGTTCCCCACAGTGGCCAATCAGATGCCTCTGGGAAACCAACAGGGAAGGAACGAGCACAACAGCCCGCTCCCTATTGGTGATCTCCAGAATCTGGTATTCAAAGGCAGGTGGACTGATGGACTGAATCAACATAAGGCAGTTTCCTATCCCTTGAATCTGCCACCCCATGGGGGTTTTACTTGAGGGTGGGCAAATCTGCTTCTCTTGGTTCCTCTCAGATTCTCATTTTTCCAGTCTTTAGTTCAGTTCTCCACATTAGTTAGCAATTTTTAAAAAATTACGAAAATTCACGAGCATTTTAATGTGAATTTTTCTCACTATATATTTTTTCATATGACATTTTGCCTAATGGACACATTTTTATGGAACATGTTTTTCCTAATACTTTTTATTTCCCCCAACAGAATGCATTTTTATATGTTATTTTCACTAATATAGGCACTCCTTACCTTAATACGGTGATACCTTGGTTCTTGAACTTAATCCGTTCCGGGAGTCCATTTGACTCCCAAAACCATTCGAAAACCAAGGCACAGATTCCGATTGGCTGCAGGAGCTTCCTGCACTCAAGGGGAAGCCGTGTCAGACGCCCAGCTTCTGAAAAACGTTCGCAAACCGGAACACTTACTTCCAGGTTTGCGGTGTTTTGTTCGGGAGCCAAGCTGTTCGGGTACCAAGGTACCGCTGTATATGCATTATTGTGCCCATGACTTGGCAGGAGAACTGCATTGCAAAATTCAGAGCTGTGCGGATTTCAAAAGATAGCTGTGTTTCAGTTCATACGTGTGAATTGTGTGCATTCAGCTTTAAATGCATACTCCATCCCCAGTTGCAGTACATAAGAAGAGCTTTGCTGCCAGATCAGACTGAAGGCCCATTTAATCCAACATCCTGTTCTCACAAGGGCCAAGCAAGTGCATACTGAAAGACCAGAAGCAGGACCTGAGAGTAACAGGATTCTCCCCTCCTGCAATTTCCAGAAACTGGTGTACAGAGGCATACTGCCTTCATCAATGGAGGTAGAGCATAGCCATTGTGCCTAATATCCATGGAAAGCCTTATTCTCCATGAATTTGTCTAATCCTCTTTTAAAGCCTCTCCCTTTTTTTCCTTCCTTCTTTTCTCTTCCCCTTGCAACTGCCAAAATCTAAGCCTTTTTGTTGTTGCTTAGGTCGCTATATATAAGGGACGCGGGTGGCGCTGTGGGTTAAACCACAGAGACTAGAGCTTGCTGATCAGAAGCTTGGCGGTTCAAATCCCCACAACGGGGTGAGCTCCCATTGCTGGGTCCCTGCTCCTGCCAACCTAGCAGTTCAAAAGCATGTCAAAGTGCAAGTAGATAAATAGGTACCGCTCCTGCAGGAAGGTAAACGGCGTTTCCGTGCACTGCTCTGGTTCACCAGAAGCGGCTTAGTCATGCTGGCCACATGACCCAGAAGCTGTATGCTGGCTCCCTCGGCCAGTAAAGCGAGATGAGCGCTGCAACCCCAGAGTCGACTGGACCTAATGGTCAGGGGTCCCTTTACTTTTACCTATGTCGCTATATAAATCATCACGTGCTGATAGAGCTATGTGAACAATGAGCAATTGTGAACTATGAACCAACAGTCTATAGAGTGTGTGCTTTGCATACAGAATGTTCCAGGTTCAATACCTGACATCTCCATGTAGGGATGGGAAGACTCCTGTCTAAAACACTGAGGAGCATCTACCAGTCAGGCTAGACCAGGGCCAGGGAACTTCCAGACTACAGACCTAAGCAGCCTACCAAGTCTTCCTCTGTGCCCTTCCAACCTTTGACTTGATGATCCAGGGGCAGGACAGTCAATGGGATAGAGCAAACATTCAACAGCTAGCATACATAGCCAAGCTGAGACAAAGCACTTTTGATGCCTGTTACACAGGCTGTACTGGCCAGAGAAACCTCTCTGTCTGGCCCAGCACTATGATGGAGATGTATATTGTACACCCTCTGCTCAACAGGAAGATAGGTGCCTCTGTGTGTGCACCTGTGGCAACTGCATGTGGGCGACGGAGCCAGGATATTCTGATGCAATTGGCCAAAGATTCTGGGCAGATACACCAGGCCAGTACAGCAGCCACTGCAGTGACTGGGCTCTCTGCTAGTAAACAGCAGTTCTTGAAACAGGCAGCTTCCAGTGCCCTTCAACTCTTTCCTTGCACCGCCTCTGGGGGTCTGCTTTGTCAACGGACCTGGTGTTACCATGCCGTCACTCTTCCAGGCAGCCATAGACAGAGATTTATCCCTGACTTACCAAGGGTGAATGTCGACTGTGCTGTTTTAAGCTGTAATGGTGATTAAATCATAGAACATTCGCTATTGTGTGTCCCTCTGATTTTTATCTCCATCCTTTTCACATTTCTATTCACTAAGCGAAGGCATGAGGCTTAATGCAGTATTTCTGAAAGGTCCCTGGACAGATTTAGTGCTGGAAAGGAATATATATAGACAGCTGGAATGAGGTACCCTGTTTTTACTACAGCGAATGCCTTGTATTTTAATATGCTCTTCTAGCCAATGCTAAAATGCCTTCCTGGCATGTTCCTCCTAAGGTCATTGGTGTTATTTGGAGGTTTCAGACTTCTAGATTTTGGCAGCACAGTCCCTGGGATTTGGTAGATCAATAATGGAATTACAAATCCCTGTTTGCTGTTGTGCATGCTACCTTTCTACACACACACAAAGGTGTAAAGGTGTAGAACTACCTGCTTTCCTTCAAAAGCAAAGACAATGATCTAGTCCTCATGGAGAAAAGACGTGGATTGAATCTGCAAGCAGTCACTGTATTTGAGGAGGTGCCACTGGGTCAGGAATAGAACTGAGTTATCATGCCTTATTCCATATGCTTTTCAGTCAGGTGGCACACAGAGGAGTATGGGAACCAGCCCAGGAACAGGAAGACTCTGATTCCGAGCAGTTTAAATAGCTGACCAAATAGTTCTTAATGAGAGAAGAAGAAGCTCTGTTTCAAGAAGAACACAAAACATTATTGCTGCAAAGTCAATCCAGAACAGCCTTCTGATTCTGACAATGACCAGTCAGATACTACTTAGTACAAGGGTGACCAAGGGGGCCACCCTCCATATGATGCTGAAAGAAAGCACCCACCCTCCTTGACCACTGGCCAGGCTGGCTGTGTCTGACTGGAGTTGTGGTCCAACGACATCCCTCTTTGCCTTTCTCCAATCTCCAGTATTCAGTAGTATGCGAAGTGGCATGCTTTGATTCAGTGCATTGAACATCATGCCTAATAGGTGGCCTTTCCTCTATACTATTCTAGATCGGCCAATGGTCTCACACAGTAGAAGGCCACTTTCTACTGCAACAAGGACCATAGCATACAGAAGGTCCCAGGTTTAATCCCCAGCATCCTCAGGTAGAGCTGGGAGAGTCCCTGTTCCTGAAACCCTGGAGAGCTGCTATCAGTCAGTACTGTTGATGGAACAATGTTCTAACTTATTATAAAGCAATTTTGTGTGATCCTATGTTCCTATCCCATTTTTGTTCAGAGTTCTATGATCCTATGACCTCAAAGTGGTATACATGGGAGATGTCCATAGGTAGTCTCCCATCCATGGAGACTTGAGACCCAAAGTAACCTTAGCTTCAGCAAAGTGAAGCCAATATGATGGATGCAGCATTCTGTGATGTCATCACTACTGACAAAATAAATAATAAAATAGACCTTAGTTCAGCCAGCCTTTTTAAGGATTCAGCCTGACCCAAGACCCAGATCAGCACTTTCCCAACAGATTCAGGAGCTGCTATGAACCCCTGGAGCAAACCAAACCCCAACAGTTGTAAGCTATCACCACACCATATTCTCCAACTTGCAGCAGAGGAAAATCGGGATGCTTATCCTTCGAGGTCGTGCTCCCATGCACATCACATGACTCGTGCAAGAGCACAACACCGCAAAATGCGCACCTTTCAAGGCTGAGCTCTCACAGGAGTCAAAACAGGACATCCCAGGATCCAGTCAGAAGCTGGAATGTCTCCTGTAATTCTGGGATGTCCCATTCAAAGCAGGACAGTTGAGGGGTATGCTACGCCTGTTATCTATCCATCCAAACTGATCCAGGAGATTATCAGGCTGTATTTTGGATGTCTCCAAGGTCTCAGGGAGCAAAGACTAAATAACCATTCTCTGTTTCTCAAGGCCTTAGGCAGAATTAGCCAAATAGCCCAGCAGCCATTGTGACCAAAGAGATCCAAGACACTGGTTTTAGAACCAAGGCTTTGCCTGGATTGTCCCTGGGTCTGACAATCCAGGCAAAGGAATGCAAAGGTGCATTCCTTTTTTACTAAAGGTAGCCCAAGAAACTGATATCTGCAGTAGGAATGAGAAACTGAATCGTCTTATTTGGACATCTGCTGCTATATGAACAGTACATTACGATGGAAAACTCCAAAGTTGAGGTTTTCTCCATCAAATCAACATTACAGACTTATAATGCATTCTTTAATTAGATGTCGCTATTAACTGGACTGTTGCGTGATTTAAATCTGGATGTTAATCTCCGTCATTCTACGCTGCCATCATTTTTATGACATCGAGCGAGTGACTCCTTTATGTAGTAATCTATCTGAAAACCACCTTATTCCCCCCTCTTTCTTTTTTTAGAAGAATAAAGGACATGAGATTGAAATGAAAGCTTTTCTGAGTCCGTCCATTAGTAATTTTCTGCTTAGTATTTGAAAAATGGCTCGTTTTAATTGCTTCACAGAGGAGAAAGCTATCAAAGCTAATGCTCTTTCTTTCCAAACTTTTGTAATTATTTCTCTTGGACTCTTATTTGAAATGGCTTGAAAATATTTTCATTAAAATGTAGATTTCCCCCCCACCCTTCTCTCTCTCTCTCCTCTCTCTGTCTGTATGTCTGTCTCTCTCTCTTTCAAATGGGCTTCGATTCCCCAGTGCTTACCCACCCACCCCACCCCCACTTTTTCTTTGTTTGGCTACTAGCTTTTAACTATGTATAGATGAAATCCAACATTTGAAATTAGGAATGAGGGGACATGTCATTAGCATTGCTAATATTGACTGGGATTTTATCAGGTTTGGATTTCATATCAAACTGCACGGTTTCCAAGGAAAACAATGTTTATGGGAATGTTCTCTCATTCCTGCCACTCCCTGTCCACTCTCCACCCAAAAAAAGAAAAATCCTGAAGATTCACTCAAATAGTTTGACCCTTGTGTTTTCCCTCTTGAACTTTGTGAAGTCAATCTAATCCAGAAGAGTGGTACCTCGGGTTACATACGCTTCAGTTTAAAGACACTTCAGGTTACAGACTCCGCTAACCCAGAAATAGTACCTCGGGTTAAGAACTTTGCTTCAGGATGAGAACAGAAATTGTGCACCAGCGGAGCAGCGGCAGCAGGAGGCCCCATTAGATAAAGTGGTGCTTCAGGTTAAGAACAGTTTCATGTTAAGAATGGACCTCCGGAACGAAATAAGTACTTAACCCGAGGTACCACTGTATCTTCTTTTCCACTGTGGCCAGCCATATACTGCTTCGAATCATTGGAACATAGGAAGCCACTTTATTCTGAATCAGACCATTGATCCATCTAGTTCAGTATTGTCCATACTGACTAGCAAGAGCTCTCCAGGGATTCAGGCAGGGCACCTTTCCCAGGCCTACCTGGGACATGCAGGGGGTTGAACGTGGGGCCAAATCAGATGCTCTATCACTGAATCACCTCCTATTGTTGCTCCCTAGCAAATGGCATTCAGAGGCCTCTGAACCTGAAGGTAGCCTCTCAATAGCTTATTTTGTAGCCTCTCCTCCATGAATCAAAGGCTGTATCTCGGTGGAAAAGCAGGTGCTTTGCATGCAGAATATTATATACTTATTTTAGATCCCACCTTTCTCACAAGGGCAGGTCCCAAGGCAGCTCACAGCATCAATTAAAGCACATGCATCAACGTAATAATTTTTTTAATTACAAACACAATTTTAAAGGGGGGGGAATCAATTTGAATGTTTCTGATATGAGAAGGTCCAAGTTATGGGCATGGTCTCACAGAGACCAAGTTGTCCTCACCACTATTCTCCTGGAAGTCCCCTAGATTCTCCTTCCCTCTCTCCTCTTCCACACTCCACTCAAGCCTTGTAGGCAACTAGAGGGACTGCTAGGGGTTGCCACAAGAAGAGGAAATGCAATACCCCTTCCCCCCCCAAAAAAAGAGAGGACTGAATAAATCACACATATTTGCATACAATTTACATATGTATAGGAATAGATGCAAAAATAGAAATAATTGCTATCTACTGAAAGCTGCAGTGTATCTCACCCTAGTGGGGAATACTGCAGCAACATGATTGGTGCACTTGTTCAGTTTGAAGCTTTCCGTTGACGGGGAGCGATGTCTGCCCTCCCTTCTTATAACTCTTTGCCTTTAAGCCAAACCCTCCAAGTGTCCCTATTTTCCAGGGATGTCCCTGATTTAGAGAAGCTGTCCCAGTTTCTGATTGGATCCTACAATGCCCCGCTTTTCCTTAGGATGTCCCTGTTTTCACTGGAGAAATGTTGAAGTGTATGGAGTTATCCAACCCCTGAACCATCTGAAGGCAATCCTGTATAGGGAAGGTTTTTTTTAATGTTTAATGTTTTATTTTGTTTTTATATATGTTGGAAGCTGCCCAGAGTGCTGGGGCAACCCAATGAGATGTGTGGGGTATAAATAGTAAAATTATCATTATGGGATGGGACATCCCTATTTTCATCGGAGAAATGTTGGAGGGTATGCTTTAAGCTAGTTTTAGACCAGACAGCCCTTTAAATAGAGGACTCCTTCAAACAGAGGGCTGTCCTCTGTAAAGTAGGAGACAGGGCCATCCTGAACCCAACCCTTCAAGGCTTGAGAGGGCCCTAAACAACATGCCCTCTAGTTGACTCTTTCCAATACCAGTAGGTCACTTGTGACAGAGCCACAGTTGGCAAAGGCAAGTCACCAGTTTAAATTCCCCACAATGCTCTAGTGCAGCATCTTTCAACAAGCCTCTCTACCAGGCCCTCAGCACTCTCCTAGACCACACCTCCTACTGGCCCTGCTTCTGGAATGTGTCCTTGAATTGGAGTAAATGCCTTGTGCTTCCTGGATGGAGGATACAGAAGGGAGTGTCAAAACTAACCTACTGTGCAAATTTTGCATTAATTGTTCTGCCTCCCTTTGCCTCCAGCCCCACCAGCCACTGGCATGTGTGGCCCCTGGAAGGTTGCTCAGAAAGCAGTATGGCCCTCAAACTGAAAAGCTTCCCCAGCTCTGGCCTTCATTGTGTATGAATCTGCGTTTCTGTTCCCCACCCCTATCATTTGGTAAATGGTCAGTGATCCAAGGTATTCTCTTTCTCTCTATTTCTCTCTTATGTTCCTTTCAAACCCTCCCACTCCAATTTGACTGGTGTGAGAGGTAGTAACATCACGTGTCACAAAGCTCCTATACACAATGTCTCTCCCCGCCCCCCCAGCAAGGCAATGAATGAGAAAGAAAGAAAGAAAGAGCGAGCCCCCAGGCCTGGTCTGCACCACTGCTCCCCTACCCTCTGAAGCCATTATGAACAAGCCTCACTAATTATAACTCCATGGCTAGGTGCCCTCCTAAGGCTGTTGTGCTCAGCAGATATGCCTCCTGAAGGAGATATGAGTGAGCTCAGGTAATTCAGGGCAGGGAATGCATTTGGGCAGAGGGGGGAGTATGTAATGTCGCTGCTCTTTTTTTTTTTAATTATCAGGAACACATTTTTGGCCCTTAAGTGTCCTACTGCACTGGCGACATCATCCCAGCAGCCATTTTTCTAGTGTTTTCCTTCAGAGACAGCTGTTGCAGATAAGCATCAACAATTATAGATTCCGTTTCCTTTATATATATTTTTTTAAAAAGACGACTGGAAAGAAGAAAGGGAAAGGCTTGGTTTGCTTCTCTATATGGCTGGCAGGTGTTTATTTTACTGCAATGTGTGCTTGGGGGATACCCCAGTAAACTGAGGAAAAATCAACATTAACACGCTCTTTGGTCTTATTCCTTCTACTAATTATGATGTTGTTGTTGTTGTTGAAATGCCTTTACTCATTATTAGGGGCTCCTTTGTCTAGCTCACAGGTGAGCAGTCTGCAGGCCACACATGGCCTGCTTAGGCCTTCCCTAAAGCCCAGAAGGGATGTAAGGAGGCAATGATTTCTGTCCCATCCTGTGTTTGTCACAACCAGAGCCTTTTCCATTCTGCTACAGTTCAGCTTATGCTATTCATCTCACTAGTTCCTATGGCTGGATTTTGCCAAGAAAAATAACATTGTTTTTAGTGGAAGACGAAATGCAGCAGAATGGAAACACTGCTACATGTGACATATACCAGGTGGAAGGAAAATGCCTTATAATATCCCTGTTGTAAGAGGGAGGTAACAACAGGCTGAGGAGAAGAAGAGAAGAAGAAGAGTTTGGATTTGATATCCCGCTTTATCACTACCCAAAGGAGTCTCAAAGTGGCTAACATTCTCCTTTCCCTTCCTCTCCCACAAGAAACACTCTGTGAGGTGAGTGGGGCTGAGAGGCTTCAGAGAAGTGTGACTAGCCCAAGGTCACCCAGCAGCTGCATGTGGAGGAGCAGAGACGCAAACCCGGTTCCCCAGATTACGAGTCTCGCTCTTAACCACTACACCACACCTCAAAATGTGTGGGTGTGCAAAATGCCTTTAGGGAGGGGGAAGAACACAAAAGGATGAAGGATGCTTCCAGGCTGCCAATATGTTTGGGTGGAATTCAGTCACATAGCAGTAAATTCAGGCTGTGCCATTTACTAGACTTTGAGCCCAGCTCAACAACCTGTTGTCATAGTAGCCAACCAGAAGCCTGTAGGAAACTCACAAGCCAGGAGCTGAGCACAAGAGCAATCTTCTCCCCTCTATGCCTCCAAAGCATTGCTGCCTCTTCCTATTCAGGAACTCCACTAAAAAGTCTATGGGTTTTAGCTGAGAAACTGATATATTAAAAAGATTGGTGGGTTTAAAAAAACAAAACCAGTCACAATTCATAGTGTTAATGAATAGATGCATCGACTGGCAAACCAACTTTTCCGGGCTGCAAAAACAAAACAATCCCTCCATCTGAATAAAAGAACCATGTTTCCTAGCTAATATTTACACAAGCTCGTTCTTGCCCACAATGGCAAAGTCACTCACTTGGTTTTCTTCAATCTATTCTTCACCGCCCTCCTGGTAACATTTTCATTGTCAGCCCTGAGTTACTGTTTAATCCATGATCGCTTGATAAATGGAGTTCAATTGGAATACCTGTGTTAATTAAACCAAAGATGGAAGAGACAGCTTTCATTTCTTGCTGATAATTTTCTACGGCTTTGCTACAGCAGAGAGAGAGAGAAATATGAGGACTTTCTACATTCTTTTACCAAAATGGGGGGGGGGGAGACCCAGGAGTATTCAATAACTCCTTCATATGATAATGCTTGCAATTGTTCAATATTCCTGGCTAATTCCTACACAGTCCCTTCGCCCTTTGCAAGTTAGAATTGCTGTTTCATGTCATGAAAACCATTTCCTGTGAGAATGTAGAGGAATTTCCAAAGATGTAATAGATGGACAAAGGACCCTAATTCAGTGGCAGAGCATCTCCTTTGCATGCAGAAGGCCCAAGGTTCAACCTCTGGCATCTCCCAGTAGGGCTGTGAGTGTCCCTTGCCTGAAACCCTGGAGAGCCCCTGCCAGTCCGTGTAGACAGTACTGGAGCTAGATGGACCAATTGTCTGACTCGGGGATTATGAGAGTTGCAGTCCAACTACATCTGGGGATGCCTCATGTAGCTCTATCCACATTGATCTGCCTACAGCACATACACTAATGTGCTTAGTCCAGCCAAAACAGAACCACATCTCGGTCCATTTATTCCAGGTACTCTGATTCTCAGCTTATTTGTTACAAGTAAACAAACTTCCTAAATATAACCGGGCCCTCCTATCTTGATCTCTTGCTAATTTCAGCATAACTTTGCAAGAGCTAGTAAGTTTGTTAGCCTAGATGGTTTTGAAACAATGTATGTGTTTGAGAAGGGGGTGTTATACTTTTAAACACACTCTGGGCAATTTGTGGTGGTCATCTTTAAAAATACTGCTCCATTATCCTTTTTCTCCCCATTTGGAATGAATGAGGCTAATTAATTTCAGGCCATACTTGATGAGGTCAGCACCAAACTAGGGGGTGCGTGCTAGACATTGCTAATCTCTTTCAGCTGAGAGTGATGAATTAAAGATGAAGCATGCCTTCACAGACCTAATTTAGAATGTATATTTTTTTAAAAAAAAAAACCTACAGCAAATAATGCTATAGCATTCACAACAAAGGAAAACTTGTTCTTGTGGCTCCCATGTAGTGTTGATTTTGAAGAAATCTTTTATTCGCTTGGGGAGCCTGGCTGTGGATGGGTGGAACAGATCAGAAAATTGCAACATGGGTTTGTGTGTGTGTGTGTAAAACTCACTAGTGTTTGATATCCAGTATGTATTTCTGACATTGTTCGTGCTTAATTTAGGGCTTCTTCACTTATTGCACATTTAAGGTGTACACTTAAGATTATTTTAAATGTGGTTCCTTAAAATGTGGCATTCAGATGTGACAAACACCCGTTTCAAATAGATATGCTTGTCAGAAACCCAGGCTTCACTGGTACAGTGCAAATCGAGATGATCATGGAGAACCATTATTATATATCCCATCTCTTTAAATTCCCTTTAGAAGCAGTTGGGCAAAGAGCATATTAGATTGGGACTGAATAGGCACTTGCAAAGGAATGGTGAACCCAATGCAAGGGTTAACTCAGTGCAAATCACCCTTTGCTAGCACACCCCACAAACCTGCTACTTTGTCCTGTTAGGGAACACATCTATAAACCTATATGTTTCTCCCCAATAAGACTCATTACAGCCTGAGTCAAGTGAGTCAAGTAACAGAATACACTGGAGAAAATGGAAGGGAGATGGTTTAACCCTTCCTGCAGCATGGTGATCCCAATCCAGTTTAGAGATATGAAACCTGATCCCAAATCTCCAAAGCTTGAATCTAGTTTACCCCTCAATAGCAAATGCAGGTTTGCTCCCCATAATTTGCTAAACAGTCCTTAGAACCAATCTATGTGTGAAACTCATGACACTCAGTCAAGCTGCTTTAGGTTAATAAAGGCATATATATGCCTTTTTTTAACCTAAAGCAGCTAAATAAATAGGTTGCAATCTGTTGGAGACGTTCTGTGTAGGGAGAAAGAGACTTCTTCAACCTTTCTGAGTATTTTTCCACATTCAGAATGTCGCCCACTCAACCTGGTGTTCCCCAAGGAGGAAAAGATGCCTGCAATATATGGACCTAAGTTAAAACTAGGTGGAAGATTTATACTAGTGCTTCAACTTTTAAATCTTCAGTCAACTGGTCAGAGTCAATTTTAGAGTTGCAAGTAAGAATGCAAGGAAAGGCTGCTGGATTAGGCCGATGACCTATCTAGTCCAGCATCCTGCTCTCACAGAGCCAACCAAATGCCTGTACACAACTGGCATGCCAGACCCAAGCACAATAACCCTCTCCCCTCCTGTGATTTCCAGCAACTGGTATTCAGAAGCATTACTGCCTCTGTCCATGGAGGCAGAGCATAACCATCTCAGCTAGCAGCTATTGATAACCTCTTCCATAAATTTGTCTAATCCTCTTTTAAAGTCATCTAAGTTGGTGGCTATCACTGCCTTACAGCAAAATCCTATACATGTCTGTTCAGAAGAAAGTCTCAATGACTTCAGTGGGCCAGGTAGGGATGTAAAGAGGCACTGTTATCTCTCATATGCAGCACTGTTTCTGATCCACTGCAGTTCATCTTCCACCCAAAACTACATTATTGCTGTCAGCTGTGGCAAAATGATGTAATTCATGTAAATTGTGCAAATCATATTGTCCAGACGTCCCCGTTTTCCGGGGACAGTCCCTGGATTTACAAATCAGTCACCTGACAAAATCCTATCATTCCTACTGAAGTTGAAAAGTGACCCTGGATTCATTGAAACAAATCTGGTAACCTTACATTATGTGATTCCACCCCCATTATTTCAGTGCAACGGAAATGCAATGTGAATGTCATGTATCATTTGTGGACTGAAAGCAACGACAATATAATATTCACTGGATTTATTTCCATTCTGGATATGGGACAAATAAGCAAACATCAGCCATTTCTGTTCCCGTTTCTGTTTGTTGCCAGAATTCTCTGACATTCCTACCCCCAAGTAAGTGGATATAGGATTGCAGCCTATTAAATATATCTCATGTTTCAGTATCCAAATTGACTAATGATGCATGTTTGTTAAGGCAATTTATGACTCCTGTTAAAACCTCTGGGCACTGTGATCTTTCCCAGGTGAGCTGTACCTGACATACTTTGGGGTTTTTTTGGGGGGGGGTCTGCTTCCCAAATTCAAACTTTGTCTCCTTTCTTATCAACAGTGTGTGCATGATTATAATTGTTTCTTTAAAATGTAGCTGCATTTTCCCATGTTTTCCTGCTAGTTGGGTGGTGTAGATTATATGATAGCTTTTATCAGGCTGGCTTAATACAATAACAACATGTGCCCAGTTTCTGCCTGACAAGAGGTGCATTCTTCCAGCACAAGGGAGGACTGTAGACCCTTTTCATGTGAGATACTAATGTGTCTTACAACTTTTCTTGCAGCACTTGTGGGGTGTGTTTGCTTTGCAGGAGGACAGAAGATACAAACGAAACTGAAGTTGCATTCTAGGGAGGAATTGTCAAATCTGTCAATTTCAGTTTCTCATTCTTTTCTGTCTCAATTTCACTTCTCCACATTTCTACATCAGTTTGCAAAAAAGAATTTTAAGTCCCCATGAAAATTCATCAGCATTTTAGTGTGGATTTCCCCTAATATACACATTTTTGTATGCCATTTTCCCTAATATAATTTGTATATGTTATTTTTAATAATACAAGCATTTTCATGCATACATTCACCAAGTGTGTGCATTTTTGTACATGTTGCCTTGATGGAGAAGTCCATTGCAACAGCCATAGATTTGCGATTTCTGAAGGCTAGCTCTGTTTCAGCTTGTGCTTAATGTTTTGAAAAGGAAAAATGAGATAAGTTTGCCTTTAAATGAGAACTAAATCCAACTTCTCCCCTATCCCTAAATGCAGGCAATGTGGGCCTTGCATCTGTGTGACAAACCAGTCGGCATACGTACCAGTCAGTTCAAGTCTCAGTGCTTAGAGACACAAGCTCCAAACTGAGGTACAAACTGAATTAACCAACTATCCTGGCCCCAAGTGCAGAAGGCATTTAGGGGCAACATAAAATGAGCTCAGGACCATTTGTAGCTCCTGAGCCACAGGTTCCCCCACCTGTGTTCTGTGTCATGGTAGAAAGTCTGTAAGACAGTCCCCTGGCTGAACAATCTTAATCAATGGATCATGCAAAATTTAGTCAATGAATCAATTCATTGATCAGCTAATTCAACTAATATGGGTCTGAGTCAAAAGGGCTGTTTGGAAGCACAACGGTCACTTGGTTTGTTTTCACATGACCTCCGCCTTGTGTTTTCTAGCATCAGGCATCATTTTAGAAGATGTATCTCCTTCCTGAGTATAAATGAAGGGTGTGCATACTTCTTAGCAGACCATACTGGACATCTACACATTTTTTGAAATACCTGTATAAGAAATAATATTTTTTTCAAATTAAAAAAAGGGGAAACAGCATCCTGATTTTTGGAGAAGGGTCACAGCTCAGTGATAGATTCATGCAGAAGGTCCCAAGTTCAATCCCTAGGACTGGGAATGTCCCCTGTTTGAAATCCTGGACAACTGCTGCCCGTTAGTGCAGATGATACTGTGAGATGAATCAATGGTCTTGCTTGATGTCATGCAGCTTTCTCCCATCGTTCAGCCCAGACACTGAGGTCCGGCTCCGAGGGCCTTCTGGCGGTTCCATAACTGCGAGAAGTGAGATTACAGGGAACCAGGCAGAGAGCCTTCTCAGTAGTGGCACCCGCCCTGTGGAACGCCCTCCCATCAGATGTCAAGGAAATAAACAACTATCTGACTTTTAGAAGACATCTAAAGGCAGCCCTGTTTAGGGAAGTTTTTGATATTTGAAGTTATATCATATTTTTAATATTCTGTTGGAAGCTGCCCAGAGTGGCTGGGGAAACCCAGCCAGATGGGTGGGGTATAAATAATAAATTGTTATTGTTATTGTTATTGTTATTGTTATTGTTATTGTTATTGTTATTGTTACTGTTATTGTTATTGTTATTGTTATTGTTATCATCTGCACTGATTGCACATTTTTAGATGGTCAGTTTAAAAAATGATCAATCAAGGGAATGTTGCTACTCTAGAGTTCTGAGTTTAAACATACAGGTCCTATCTACTTTGCCTTTCAATTGGAAGTCATCAAGTATACAGTATTCAAGTATTTTAAAAATGAGCAAAATATAATCCTGTTCAGGTTCACCACTGGAGGACAGGATGGCTGAGCTGAGCAGCCACGCCCTTGCCACCAAGTGCATTGAGTAGCCCTGCCCCCAGAAATCCATGCATAGCATAAAACCTGAAGTTGCATGTATTTGCTGAAAGCCTTTGTATGGACCCAGCATGGTTGGGGTTCTGGGGAGCACAGAAGCTTTCATATGCGTTGAGCCCCTGCCTGCAGACATCCTGTGTCTGCAGATGACAACAGGGAGTGCAGCTACTTCGTGCAGTTCCATTCCTGTGTCGCTCTATGTTGGATCTATAACACCTAAATGTGGTTTAAATGCATGTGTGAATCCACACTACAACTTCTCTGGGTTTGCTGTGTGTGCATATAAACAATGAATTGTTTTGCTAAAGCAGGGGTGAGGGGGCTTTTTCAACCTGAGTGCCACATTCCCTTCTGGGCCACATGCTAGCGTTGGTTGGGCCAGAGGCAAAAAGGAGAGCAATGAATGTAGATATTACCTGTGTACAGTAAGTTCAGAGACCTACCTTCTCAGTAATCTCAGTTCAAGGTTGCCTTATCACATATACGCCCCCAAGTTTGCTACAACCGCGGCAAGGATGCTACTGGCACAAAGATGGAAAAACGATAAAATACCAACCAAAGAAGAATGGCAAGAAAAACCTATGGAATATGCTGAAATGGCAAAACTAACTGAAAGACTTCAAAATAAGGATAAAAAATAATTTAAGAAAGAATGGGAACCATTTTCGGCCTACATAAAGAATCAATGCAAAGAATTGGACTCATTAGCAGGTTTTGAATAATCATATAAAAAGGTAAAGGTAAAGGTACCCCTGCCCATATGGGCCAATCGTGACCGACTCTGGGGTTGCGTGCTCATCTCGCTTAAGAGGCCGGGAGCCAGCGCTGTCTGAAGACACTTCCAGGTCACGTGGCCGGCGTGACAAAGCTGCTCTGGCGAGCCAGCACCAGCGCAGTGCACGGAAACGCCGCTATAAAGCGGTAACTATTTATCTACTTGCACTTAGGGGTGCTTTCGAACTGCTAGGTGGGCAGGAGCTGGGACCGAACGACGGGAGCTCACCCCGCTGCGGGGATTCAAATACGATCGGCAAGTCCTAGGCACTGAGGTTTTACCCACAGCGTCACCCGCGTCCCCTTATATGAATAATCATATACAATTAGCAAAAATCATATAATCTACAAGTACCAAAAAATGGGTGAAAAACGGAATATGCAGGAAATGATATGATTTTGAAATAAACCAGAGAGGGAGGTTGAGGGAAGTCTGAGGGGAATGGGGAAATTTTGAAACTGTGAATTATGTTATTTGTTATGCTTTAATATTGTAAAAATGGAAAACTTAATAAAAATTAATTCAAAAACCCCCCACATATATCCCCCCACGATTGCTTCATTCTGTGACACTAGAACTATTTGTAAGTGCAACATAATACACATTCTGTACTTGTAAGAAACTGATATCTTAGTGTAACATCACCCATACTTTGGACTCCATGCCTATTCACATCAGGCAAGGCACCTTCTCTATCCAGACATATAGAATGTTGACTTATATTTTAAACCTGATTTTTAGCTTACTGGTGATTTTAATCATTTTTGAATGTTTTAAATAGTTGCGCTTAACTGTTCTTTACTGATAATTTTATTGTTTTATTCTTTTTTTAAAAACTGCTTTGAGGTTTTGATACAATATATACATTTTGTGACATGAAAAAATAGGCTGGTTTCTACACACATTCTATTTTCCATTCAGACAAGTAAGAGTCTCATCAGAGTCTAAGAACACAGCCAAGCAAAAACACCCAAGGAGGGTGCAAGGCAGAAGTGTGGCTGGCAATGGTGTGTGTGATTAGGGAGAGGATGTGGGCTATGAAAAGCCCTAAGGACCAGATGGAGAAGTCTTGAGGACCAAATTTTGCCCCAGAGCCTGAGGTTCTCCACACCCAGGATTTAGCTATACAACTGCAAATAAAATGTTTTAAGTGTGTTGTAAAGTGCAATACACAAATGTGACACTAGATGGTGATGGTGAGCTATGACAAATTCAATATATTTTTCAAAACGTTTTTTTAAAAAAGCATTTTCACAGCATTTTTATATGTGTGTAGATTTCACCCAGGTCCCCCCACTGCTAAACAGAGAAACTGATAGCAAGCAAACAACCTACCGCTAAGCAGAATTGCCATAACTTTTTAAATGGGTGGCTCTGCCTGCCTGCCTTTGCATCCCAGTAGTCCTCATTAGAGGGAACCTGCTTCCCATTATGTCCTGTCTCCATGCTGAATCAATCTTCCAACCCTTTGCTTGCTTCTGAAAATATGTTTATTTTTTAATAATGCTAGTTTTTGCTCCCCTGTGATTAAACCCAGACAAGGCATTGCCCAGAAAGTATGTGGAGGGATTCTTTTGGGCAGAAAGGGGAGATAAAGACCACATGTTTTTCTTATTGTGGGACCATTAGAGCATATAAATCTGGCCATTTGTGTTGTAGATGCATCAGAGGGTGGTTGTAATAAATACAGATTGGCACATCATGCTCGCCAAATGGACTTTATGGATCATGTCCCATGCTTCGTAATTCTCTGGTGCTGTCCCTGAACTAGCTTCCTGAAGGCTATTAAAATTCTGAATGGTGCATTATTCCACTTTTTGGGTACACTTCTCGGTCCTAACTGTCAAAGGCCTATTGAAAGAACCTGGCTTTTGAAATAAATCATTTTTCCCTTTTGAGGGAACATACTGTCCTTTCTAAGAATTGAATCCCTTACCAAAAAATTTAAAAAATCAGTGATGATCTAGCTGTAGAACCTGGCAGATGTGCATCATAGTTTGGTTGGGCTATTCAGAAATTGACAAGGGAACAGCTGAACACATTTAAGCCAGTAAAATCTAGGGTCAAATGTTAACCTGCTTGATGCACCTAACTAGGGGAGAGGAGAAATGTGGTTCAGTTTGCACATATAAGTAAATATACCTAAGCTGCATGTCCCAAAACAATATGCGAACCAAAACACAGCCCTCCTTTTAAATTCACACCTCTTCAAATGATGTGATGCAGTTCGCTATCTAAATAACGGGGGCAAAAATGCATATACTACGGGAAAGAGTGCATTAAAATGTATATATTACTGGAAATAGCACACACCATGCATTAAAACACAGAAAATCACACTGAAAGATGTATATATTAGAGGGAATTGCATACAAGTCTCTGAATATTAAGAAAAATTCACACTAAAATGCTGGCCGATTTTCATTAGGACTTTTCCTAAAAGATCTTGGAGGGATTCTGAAACATGTCTTTAAATACCACATGGAGTTTGGTCTGGACTTTGGAAAAGGGGCTGATTTGTTGAAAAGGGTCAAAAACATTACCAAGCTGGAGTTCCCACGTGTGAAAGGAGAATATGAAGAAGAGCTGCGGAAGGGACATGGAAGAGACTTAAGGGCCTCAGATATAAGGTTACCAGGTTAATGCACTAGATCAATGGGATAAAGAGGACTGACAAAACCCAGGACCAGGAGAAAGGGACGCTGGATGAAGATTGGATTGTTTTTATTTCTTTCTTTTTATTACTAGGATTGTTTTATAAAATTGATGAATGTTAGAAAAATGTTGGAACGAAATTACTTGGCTCTAGCAAAAATGTCTAAAGAATTAGGTAAGAATATTATGGTTATGAGAAGTTGGTAAAAATAAGAGTTAAGTTTTAAGTTTTAAGGTTTTCTATAAGATAAGATGAAAATAGATTAAGGTAATGTAATGACAGAATATTATGAAATATGGAAAGGATTTGCTGCGATAATTAATAACTAGGATACAAAAAAAGGGAGGAGGAGGAGGTCAAAGAAAGAAGGTAATGAAAGTTGAGGATTCGAGAATGATGGATTTGTTTTTATCTGTTTGTGGTGTATTTTTGTTTTTTTGAATCTACATTGTTTGATGTGGTTTGTTTTCTCTTTGTTTTCTTTTTTTTCTTTTTCTGCTGTGTTCTTTTCTGCAATTCTAAAAAAATTTCAATAAATATCATTTTTAAAAAAAAAGGACTTTTCCTAAAAGAATTGCAAATAGGGAAAAGGAGAAACTGAGATAAACAGAAATTGACAGGCTCACCCATCTCAACACCTAATGTCTAGGCCAGATATCTAGGCCAGGAACAGCCAACTCAGAAAGGCACCGGTTGCTTCTCATCCTCCCCCCACCCCAAATCATTATTCACTTGTTTGCTTGTTTATTGAAAGCATTTGCATCCCATCTTTCTCAGTCAATATGAACCCATGCACTAGCTAGGATAGCTTTAAAAGAGGCTTAGATAAATCCAGTCCACAAATGTACGAAACTGACATACCAATTCAAACGACTGATCCATCTAGCTTGGCATTTTGTACACCATGAGTAGCCAGTGGGCTGCTGGTGCCCTTCAGATTTGACGGGTCTCCAGTTTTCATTATTCCTGACCACAAGCTACAGTGTCTGGGGCTGATGGGAGTTAGAGTCCAACAACCACATTGGCTGCCAATGTCCTAAACTGACTGTCAGCAGTTTTATAGACTTCGAGACAGAGGTCTTTCTGAGCTCGTGTTACCTTTCCCTCCCCTCCATTATTGTTAAGCTTTATAGATTGTAAGCTCCTCGAGACAAGGACCTGTCTAACTGGATGTGCAGTGCAATCTTCCACATGTTTCATCACAAGTAAGTCCCACTTTGTTCAATGGGGCTTGCTCCCAGGCAACTGAGTACAGAATTGCAGCCTAAATTACTTAATAGGCTGGTATATGAGCACACCCTCTTCAGTGCCTAGTTATGTCTGTAGCGCCTTTTCAGACTTGTTTACCTAGCCCAGCTGTGCTGCATTATCAGAAGGGAGGCCATGAAATCTTAGCTATCATGCTGTATTATACTGTCAGCAGTTTAAACCAACTGTGGATTTGTAGAGAGAGATTAATTCATTTGCCCTCTCTCATTACCCTAGAATTTGCGGTCATCTGACAAAATTAACTGGCAGCAGATTCAGGGCAGAGAAAAAGAAGGTACTTTTTCACACGACATGCAATTAGCTTGTGGGATTTGATCGTGGCTACTGGCTTAGGTAACTTTAAGAAGGAGCCGACATAAATTCATGGCACTGGAGAGGTCTATCAATGCCTATTGGCCATTTATGCTTCCATGCTCAAGCTTGCATACACACTATAACTTTAAGGCACTTTTGAAACATATTGTTTCCCTCAGAGAATTCTGGGTGCTGTATTTTGTTAAGGGTTGCTGGGCATTGTAACTCTGCGAGGGGTAAAGTGCAGGACCCAGAATTCTTTGAGGGAAGGAATGTGCTTTGAATGTGTTTTCTGGATACAGTGTTCACAAAGCCTCAACAATACTGAATCAAATGGATCGTCCTTCTGATACAATAAGGCTCTCTTTAGTACATATTATTCTCTGAAATGGGCAGAAACGGCGTGTGGATGTTGATGGAGAATTTGCAAATACAGTTATTTTTGGAATGAGATGTCATGGCAGACGACCGCTTCAGACTGGAGTCTTTTTGCAGGTGTGTTCTGCAACATGTTATTGATACAATGTGTTGTTGTTGTTTAGTCGTTTAGTCGTGTCCGACTCTTCGTGACCCCATGGACCAGAGCACGCCAGGCACTTCTGTCTTCCACTGCCTCCCGCAGTTTGGTCAAACTCATACTGCCATGAGAACACTGTCCAACCATCTTGTCCTCTGTCATCCCCTTCTCCTTGTGCCCTCCATCTTTCCCAACATCAGGGTCTTTTCCAGGGAGTCTTCTCTTCTCATGAGGTGGCCAAAGTATTGGAGCCTCAGCTTCACGATCTGTCCTTCCAGTGAGCACTCAGGGCTGATTTCCTTAAGAATGGATAGGTTTGTTCTTCTTGCAGTCCATGGAACTCTCAAAAGTCTCCTCCAGCACCATAATTCAAAAGCATCAATTCTTCGGCGATCAGCCTTCTTTATGGTCCAGCTCTCACTTCCATACATCACTACTGGGAAAACCATAGCTTTTACTATACGGACCTTTGTTGGCAAGGTGATGTCTCTACTTTTAAAGATGCTGTCTAGGTTTGTCATTGATACAATAGTGAACGGTAAATAAATCCATGCATTCGTGGTGGATTTATACCAGACCATCCGCATATCGTACCGCTTCCTTGCTTGTTCTGCAGTGCTCTCAATGTTACCACATTATTGCCATCTTGAAGGTCCCTCTTGTGCTATGTAGCACCACAACAGCAGGGCAACAACAATAACAGAGAAAGGATGTTTGCGGTAAGGAAAGTTGCAAGATTTCAGCAGGGAGCTATGGGACATGAAGCAATTGGAAACAAAGCAGAATGTCCATACCCAAAAAATTTGCAGGTACAAGCTACAGGGAGAGGCTTGAAATGCTTGACTCAGGGAGAGCCTAACCACTGTAGTTCATATGTTGGTAACCTTGATGTTGGATTAGTGCAATGCCCTCTATGTGAGACTGCACTTGGGTCTGGTTTGGAAGCTCATGCTGGTGCAGAATGTGGCCACAAAATTGCCGATGGGTACATTTAGTCAACAGCATGTCACACCATCGTTAAAGCATCTGCACTGACTGCCTGTCTTCTACTGAGCCAGATTCCAGGTTCTTGTATGGATTTATAAAGCCCTGAACAACTTAGTCCAGGGTACATCAAGGACCACCAGAGCCCTGTCACTAAGATTCTCTACAGGAGCATCATTGGTCATTCCCCAAGCTGGCAAGGCTCATCTGACAACAAGAAGAAACTAAGCTCTTAGTGTCATCAACTTAGTATTGTGGAATACTCTTCCAAAAGGGATTCAGCAGGAGCCTTCTGTTTCAACTTTTAAATGCCTGCTGAAAAACTTTTGTATTCTTTCAGGGTTATGAGGGCTATTGAGAATACATCTTTCCATGATAATTAACTGATTTATGATTTTTAATTGTTTGTATAGTTTTTACTGTATGTTTTTTAAGTATAATTTTTGTATACTTTTTATGAATAACATCAAATACATATTTTGATAAATAAAATAAAACTCAGCATGAATTCACCATGAAAAGGACATCCAAGGAGGAACTTATACAACAAATGCAGTTTTTGTGGTGGTTTCCACTGTGGTTGTGCTATAGCACAATGGTGCCCCTCCAGATGGCAACTAACAACTAACAAAACAGATTGCTGTGTGCACAGACCAGTATGAATTTGCTGATGATGATCCATTGTTGTGCCAATGGTCACATATATCAGCAATATAGATAGGTAAAGGTAAAGGGACTCCTGACCATTAATTCCAGTCGTGACCAACTCTGGGGTTGTGGCGCTTATCTCGCTTTATTGGCCGAGGGAGCCAGTGTACAGCTTCCGGGTCATGTGGCCAGCATGACTAAGCTGCTTCTGGCAAACCAGAGCAGCGCACGGAAACGCTGTTTACCTTCCCGTTCGAGCGGTACCTATTTATCTACTTGCACTTTGACGTGCTTTTGAACTGCTAGGTGGGCAGGAGCTGGGACCGAACAACGGGAGCTCACCCCATCGCAGGGATTCAAACCATTGACCAGCAAGTCCTAGGCTTTGTGGTTTAACCCACAGCGTCACCCGCGTCCTTGCCATATATATATATACACACACACACACACACACACTTCCCTCAAAGATGCCTGGGAACTGTAGTTTGTTAAGGATGCTGGGTGCTGTATCTCTGTGAGGGGAATCCTGGGGATGGCAGTTGACCCCTCACAGATATACAGTACCCAGCATCCTTAACAAACTACAGTTCCCAGGCTTCTTTGAGGGAAAGTTATGTGCTTTAAAGGTATGCTGCAGATGTGACCAGTTACACAATGCAGAATGCATCTGCAAAACACACACACATACATTACAGTAGAGAGTGGGGGCCTCTCTCTCTCTCTCTCTCTCTCTCTCGCTTCCCCTTCCTGGGGTATCCATCTCTGAAAGGACCCCTTCTGTATTTTAAAAAAGCTCCCCTTTACTTCACACACGAGGCAAAGAAAGAATTGTTCTGCCCCATGTGTTTCTATTATTTAAAGGGCTTAAGTCGAAAGGTGTGCATTGCCTGTGTGTGTGTGTGTGTGGAGAGGGGGGGAATTCTGATTGCAGATAACCGCTCAATTTGATTTAGTGTCGAATGATAGTGATGGGGTTGATAACTCGGCATTCATCGGTAATTCATCTTCTCCTGGTAGAAATTTACCGCAAAGCAGCGCTTTTCCCAACACTGACAAGTCCTATTAATCTTCTTCAGACACATTTCAATAGGTGTCTCCATCTAGACCCTCCATCTAAACACTCTTGGGCATCACCGGAGACTTAGAGATGCCTTCACTGAAGGTTCCACTAGAAGTGAAAATGGGAGACTAGATTGTACTCTTTTTTTAAAAAAAAAAGAAATAATTAATTCTCTCTGTCCATTTAATTAGCAACTCCTGCCAGCCTTTTCCCCACTCAAGTGTGACAACGCTTTTCCCTAACTTGAACAAGACTTGGGAAACATTAAGTTTCTAAAACTGAAACAATGTGGCCTAATGGGCAGAGGGTTAGACATAGAGTGAAGTGGCCAGGGTTCAAATGAGAGCTGTAAGTCAAGAAGTCATTATTATTGAGTGTCACACAGGCATTATCTAATTTGCGAGGCCTTAAGTAGCAAACTGTTCTGTCTCATTCTCAACTTCACCTCTGTAATATGGGGGTAGTAGTATGAAGCCATCAGATACTGGGTTGCTGCAAAAGGGTGAATTTACTGCTGAATGCATCACTTGCAGTTTTCAACTGCAGTTTTGAAACAACTGCAGTGTTTTAAATTGCCATCACCCTGCAATTTGCAACACTAGTCTTAGGGTTACCTGCACACCTTTCTGGGAGTAAAGCCCAACTGGACACAATGAGACTTGCATGTAAGTAAAAAATGCACAAGATTCTGTTCTACATGATTATTCTTGTTTTTGTTATGAACAGCAACACTGTGAGGTAGGCCAGCACTTCAGGTGAGGAACTGCAACCAAGAAGGAGTGAATGCCTATGATGAAATAGGAAGCAGGGGAATTAAAATATACTCCTTTGAGGGCATTTAATTATGACTACATCCAAAGCACCTTTTAAATTTGATAAGAACTCCTAAAATGTGAAATTGCACCCTTCATACACTGTGCTGGGAGAAAAATGCTGGTTTTGTGGGGGTGGCTTTTCTTTCTGGTTTCAAACAGGACTAAAATGAAAACCTGGGAGAAATTAAATTGTGGAATTCAGCCACTAACCTGTACAGTTGCGATCACTGAGACAGCGCACCAAACCCTGCTGTGTCCATTCATCATGACGCTCCATTTTAGTGGGTGGAGGGCGGGAGGAGAAAGATGCAAAATATATTGTAAGGCGATATCTGAAACGAGGCCTCTGGAACACTGTGATTTACTAGTAGCGTAAGGTTAAGATGAGTGTCGAGAATTCAAAACCTTCCCTTCCTAGTTTATCCATTTTTAACACACATCTGTCAAGCGCCACTTGAGTCCTAAGCTCCAACTCCACTACAGGAAGCGACACGAGGTTAATACGGCCACACAGATCCCAACTGTACAACTCCCGGGATTCCCCCTTTTTTGTTTTCCTTACATTAGCTGCCAACGCGCGAACAAATATTGCTCAGTCAAATTAGACCCATAATATTTAAAGATGGATTATGCTCTGGGATCCTCGTGGTGGGCAAACAAGATGGGCGCAAAATGGCTGTGTGTGTTTTGCCAAAGACCCCTCAGAATTTAAATGGGGTCATTTGGAGTTTGTTAGTTTGTTAGCAGAAGGAACTAGACATGGAAAATTGTCTGGGTAGGTCAAGTACTTTGGAAGAAGACACCCCCCACATACACCATGACTTCCTTTTTCTTTTCTTCTCTTCTTTCCTTTTCTTCCTTCCCTTGATCTGTCTTTTGATATCCTCTCCCACTCAAGCTATCAATGGTTACTAGCCTCCAGGCTATGTTCTACCTACTGTGTTGGAGGCAGTATGCCTCTGAAAACCAGTTGTTGGGAACCATGGGAGGGCTGCCCTCAGTCCTGCTTGTGGAGTTTCCCATTGTGGCTTCTGACTGGCCGCTTTGAGTGTTGGACTAAATGGGCCTGATCCAGCAGAACTCTTCTTCTGGTCTTAGGTAGCCTGATGCACTGCATGTTTACGTTGAAATAAATACCTCTGTGCTCAATGGGGATTTTACTTAAGAAACTAGGGACACTCTTGTCTTAACACCCATCACACCAATGAGCAATGTGTGGTCTCATTGTCAAAGGCTCTTTTCCTTTTATTTGTGAATCACAGCTATATGCCACATTTCCTTTAATGAGCTCAAAGCAGTGTACATGGTTCTTCCCTCCCATTTATTTTTCACCTGTACAACAACCCTATGAGGTAGGTTAAGCAGAGAGGTAGTGACCAACCCAAGGTCACCTAGTCAGGTCCTGTGTGCTGATTTCCCACAGGCCACTGTGAGAACAGGATGCTGGACTAGACTAGTCATTGTCCTGGCCCAGCAGACTCTTCTTATGTTCTTATGCATGTGAAGTGGATGGGATCACACCTCCTGCATCCACATAATGTCCTACTATATGTGCAGCTGAGGGTGCTGCCTTCTGCAAGGTTCTTGGTTGCTCAGAGAGAGCTTGTGTGCATTTAGTGCAGCAGTCAGGCTTTCAGACAAATACGTGCTCACCAGGAATTTGCGCAAAAGGCACAATCCCTTCTCCCCATGCCTTCATTACCATGGATTCTGAACATCTGCATGGGCCTCATGTGTTCTTTGCATATGCCTATATGGTCCACAAATTTGATTCATGCAGTCTTTCTCCTCTGCATACACACATACACAAAGTTGTGTAACCTATGCAAACGTTACCTTCTGCACATGAAGGTGGGGCAGATTTCTATACCATGTGGAGAAAATGCTCCCGTGGGCAAGTCTGTCAACAGTTCTTTGTGCTTGCTTTCTTCCTTTTTTCTAGAAAACATGTGGCACTGTCACATGGCACTTTCCATTAGAACCATTCTCAGGAATTCCTAGGATAAATGGGGAAAGTAACTTTAACTGGCATCCTTATTTGTTTTATATAAGTAGATTATCTTCATCAACAAGACGACTTCACATCATGAAGTAGCCAAGACCACAATTCTGAACACACTTACTCAGAAGTAAACCCCCCAGGGAACTGTTAGATCTATTTCCAAAAGTAATTATGCATGAGATTGTACTGCATGGTGATGAGAGGTGAACCAGAAAGTTCCTCCTCCATTTGTTGTCAACTTACTAGGATATCACAAGCAGATTTTATGATAAATCCCAGAAATAATGGTAAGTCCCAGAGTATGGTCTGAAGGCACAGGAGGATGTCACCTTACTGGAGGCCTGGATCTGGTCAGAACCTGGATGGGTGACCTTCTGGGAACTAGATGTACACCGTGTAGAAGGTCATGGTTTCAGTCCCCAGCATCTCCAGAAAGGGCTTGGAAATATTCCCGTCTGGAACCCTGGAGAGCTGCTGCAACCCAGTGTGGGCAATACCAAGCTAGATACCAATACCAATGGTCCAATATGGTATATTGCTTCATATGTTCTGTTGTTAGCATACAATGGCCTCAACAACTTGAGACCAAGACTTCTTGCATGAAACCAGCCTGCCCGCCAGTCATCTTCTCAATCTACAGAGAAGATAGTAGATGGCTCAGTGATAGAGCATCTGCTTTGCAGGCAGAAGGTCCCAGGTTCAATTCCCTGCATCTCCAGATAGGTCTGGGAGAGAACCTTGCCTGAAACCCTGAAGACCCTTTACCAGTCAATGTTGACAACACTGAGCTAGTTTGACCAATTGTCTGATTTGGCATAAAGCCGTTTCCCGTGATCCTGTGTTCCTATCCCACCTTTCTTCAACAGAACCCAAGGTGCCATACAAGAGAGTCCCTAGGTAATCACATATCTAAGTACTGATATGACCCAGGCAAACCTTAGCTTCAGCAAGGTAGAATGATCATAATACAAAGCTGATCATTTGCCTTCTGTCAGGGCAAACTGTACTTTGATGCTTGTTTTAAATGTGTTTTAGCATGCTATATTTTAACTATTGCTTTTAACTAGTTTGTTTTTCTAACTTTGTATTTTATAATGGGGTTTTTTAAAAAAAATAGTAAGCTGCCTTGAAAACCAACTTGGGAGAAAGGGGGATATAAATACACTTAATTAAATAATGAATAAAGGTGGCTGCATCATACGATGTGAGACGTCGTTAATTGATCAAATAAATAAGCAGAATGGGCTTTAGTTCAGCCACTCTTCCCCAACCTGGTGCCTTCCAGATGTTTTAGAATACTGTTTTCCTCTCCCAACAAACACAGCTCTGGGGCTGGTGGGAGTTGTAGTCCAAACATCTGGAGGCCACCAGGTTGGGGGAAGTTGACTGTCACCCTTCCAAATGATACGCCTCTCTCCTCCAATGCGTGTCTAACATCACTTAAGCTAGCTTTCCTGCTTCTGAACTTTTAACCACCTCATCACGCCTATGGAGGTGCCTGAAAATTTTTATACATAAATGCATTGTTACACAAAAGTGTAAAAGCCCACGTTGCACCTATTGGGTTGATTTTGAAGCAGCTTGTCTGGTTGCCATAAGAACCTTCTGGTACATACAATATATGTCTTGGCAGGCGGGAAGATTCGCCCACTACATTTTATACAGATCAGGCATTTATACAGAGTAGGGTGGAAACAACATTCAGAGAAGGCCTGTGGCTCGGTGACAGAACAGGAGCTTTGCATCCAAAAGGTCCCAGGTCTGATGTCCAAAATCTCCAGGTAGGACTGGAAAAGATTCATTTTGGGATTCAAGGAGAGTTGATTCTGGTGTGTGGGAAGATTAGCCTGCCAAGATGTAGCTGAACTACAACTCTCATCAACCCTGGCCGTTGCCCATGTTGATGGGAATTGTAGTTCAGCAACATCTGGAGGATCAGAGGTTCCTCACACCTGGAGTATACAATACCAAGCTGGTTGGACAAACTGTTTGACCAGCAAATAATACAGCCTCCTCACTTCTTGAGGAAGGGCTATAGCTCAGTGGTAGAGCATGTGCTTTACATGCATAAGGTCCCAGATAGAACCCCAAGGATCTTCAGGAAGACCAGGCAATGTCCCCTGCCTGAAACCCTGGAGAGATGCTGACAGTCAGTGTGGACAGAACTGAACTAGGTGGGCCAATGATCTGACTGAGTGTAAGGCAGCCTCCTTATGTTCCTATCATTCCTGCTTTGCAGATGGAAAAGTCAGGTTCAAAAGCAATGAACTCTCCAACGAACTCAGGATGAGCGGAAATGATGGTCAATGTTTCCACTATAGGACCTTATTTCCCTGGCACTAACTATTGTGTTTCCCTCCCACTGCTGACACATAGAATGCCATCTCAAACTTGGTCCCCTTCTCCCCCTCAAACCCATTTTTCTGAATCACATTAAAGATCTGAATGACCTTACTGTAGGTGGCAAGTTTAAATGTACCATATTAATAACTTCTTATCTGAGATAAATTAAGTCCTTGTGTGTCAAAAGCACTCTGCTCAGGATTACCTACAAGAGAAGTATTTATTGAATAAATGTTAGATCCAATTTCATTTTAATGTGACTGACAGGAGGCTTCAGCCTTTGCAAATGAGATAAAAACACACACTCAAACCTGCGACTGTATTGCAACTTTACACCTAACTTGTCCATTTCTATTATTGTCCTTTTTTTTAGAAAGGGGGGGCATTGAAAGGGATTTGGTGGTGGACAGCATTATTTTTTTTCTTATTCTTATTCTGAAGAGCAAAGGGAGAGATAGAAAGCAACAACAAGAAGGGAAGAAAGGCTGGCATTCAGCCTAAAGAGAAATCATTGAAACAAATTAATCCTATGCTGTTTAAATTGACATGGTAATCCATCATCAGCAAAGCAAACTCTGAAAGCAATCTAGAATCGGCAGTCTTCTTTCACTGCCCCTGAAGGCACAAAGGCAGATAGTAGAAAGGAGAGAGAGAGAGAGAGAGAGCAGGGAGAAATATCATAAAAGTTAGCAATGCCTTGAGAAGGGGGGGGGACAGCCGGTGTTTCTCCTGCCCTCCAGTCACAGCTTTGCCTCCCACCCACCCCCAAAAATTAATCCCACAATAATACGCCACTCAATAAGTTCTCTATAATCGCCCATCCTTGCTTCTGAAATTTTTATTTTTCTCTCTTGAGTTGCCTTCAATTGCAGATCACAGAAATCTGTGTGCTTTTTCTAATTTGATGTGTAGGGGCATAACAAACAAACACAACATCTTCAACAAAATATGAGTAGGGGGAGGGAATGTGATCCTCTTTCTGAAAATGGCTGGGAGAGACCTAGATGTTGTCAAAGTGGTCACCTGGTTTAGCCAAAAGTTTTCAGACAGCCGTTTGGGGAATCCAGAGGTTGCTCTGAATCTTATTAAGGGACCCTACAATAAGCAGCTCAGGGAGCAAAGATTAACAAAGACAAAGCTTATTTGCTCCTACTAAAGATGCAGGAGGAGACTGTTCTGTTTGCATCACCACTCTGGTCACTTGGGTTGATAAGGAGGTCCCAAACTCCTGGGCTGCACCCTAGAACAGGAAGGGCCACCTATATTCTCTGGAGACACTCCATTCTAGTCTATAGGTTACTTCTCTATATGCATGGACCCCCACAGACTCTGGTAGCAAGGGACTTTCCCAGTGTGTTTTTTAAAATGTATTTTTATTAAAGATTTCTTGGTTCACAAAAGTATGTGCAATGTCTCTTTTTGCAAGTTACATTTTCTACAGATCAGTTTCATTTGTTGAGACATTAGTGTCACATTAGGAAGAAAAGGGGGAAAGAGGTGGAGGGGGGGCCATGGTGAGTGGGGGTGGAGTCGGGTGGCAATGTTTCTATTTTACTTAACATGTGGGGTTTTGTGTCAGTGTCGCTTGTGCGGGTTCTCTTTACTATTCGCTTGTGTTCCTTTGGTGGTGAGAGAGGTTGGGGTTCGCCTAGGGTGTGGTTGTTTGTTTGTGATTAGCTGTGGTGAACTTTGTTTTCATGTGTGAGTGGGGTGGGTTTTTTTAATCAGGTTAGCCATATTGATCTGTATGCTTTTGGTGGATTCTTGCCGTTGTCTTGTTGAGCTGTGTATGTGATAAAGGGGGGGCCATACCAGGGTGAAGGCATCCTCTTCCATTTGAGGGACTCTTCCAGTTAAGAAGTCCATGAACTTGGGTGAAATATCAGGTACATAGAATCATAGACTTGCAGAGTTGTAAGATATCCCAAGGTTCATCTAGCTAGTACAACCCTCTGAAAAAACACTACAAACACATACTAACATATCACCTGCATATGCACAAGCCCTAAAAGGCTTTGAATGAAGGTACCCAGAGAGTATTATACACACCCATGTGAGTTTTCCAGATCATTAAGAGGTTATTCAGAAAGAATGGAGCAAGATGGATATCAGCAGAGAGAATGGAGTTTTTGGTTGTGGTGCCTAAGCTCTGGAACACCCTTCCCTTGACTTGCCATCAGGGTAAGGGCCATAGTTCAGTGATAAAGCATTGTCCTTGCCCCCAGAATGTCCTAATTTCCAAGCCCAGCATTGTCAGGTAGGGCTGTGAATACTCTCTGTTTGAAACCGTGGAGAACCACTGCCAGTCAGTGTTGACACTACTAAGCTAGATGGACCAATAGGATGACTCCGAATAAAGCAGTTTCCTATGGCACCATGACTTTTACAAAGAATCTGAAAACAGCACTCCTTCTTCTCTGCTGCTTTTGGCATGCTTTGATGCTTCTTTTAATTTTGGGTGTGTTTAGGTTCCGTTGTGATATATATGCTTGTTTGCTGGCTCATGAAGCCCTGTGGTTTACCAATGGGATGTTACTGGTTTAAAATAAATTAATAGGATCTGAAAACACAATGCAAGGACCATAGCATTAAAGTTGAAAGATCTCTCCTTTCTTGCAACTTACAAACCGTCATTGTTGGCATCATAGAATTTTCCTTATGAATGAAATTATAAGACGACAAGTTTTGCTGATTCAAATTTGGTAGACCCAGCAGAGAATGGATGAAGACTTACTAGACCAGGTAGCCATGAAATGTCATAGACATGAAATAGTGTTTCAGCTTATGAGGGAAAAGTTCTCTCCCATATGGCTTAGGAAACCTCAGTTAACCAGTCAGTAAAATGTATGTTGCTGAATAAATCAAGTGATAGCCAATATATGTTCTGCTTAGAGGAGACCACTGAAATTGATGGACAAATCTAACTTAGGTTCATTAACTTCAATGGATCTACTCTGATTAGAACTTAAATGGTCTCCATTTTAAGTATGCCAAAGGGTGCTTGTCAACAACTTTGAAAACAAAACCCTCTATTTTGAGGCTGTATACAGAGTTCAGGAAATGTTTGAGACTTTCCCTGCAATGGCAAAGAATTTTGAAGTCCGTAATATGAACCATACTTAACATATGCCCTGTTTTTTAATTTAGCAGGGGTATAATTTCTTCTTTTTGTTATTTAGAGGGGGGGGTTATGTGTCACAGAAACACATGAGCTCCCTTATCAAAATGACTGCATTGTTGCCCTGAAACTTAAAACTATTAAAAGTATTATAATAATAAAAGTAAAACTCCCTGCCCTTTGACCCCTAGCCTCTATTTCAAAAACAGACGTGCTCTAAGATTCTGTGGCTGTGAGCTTGTCAATTTCCTCTTCTATATGAAAACCCAAAAAGATGAAAATACAGATGCTTGAAGTGGGCCAAAATTGGGACGATTTTTTTAAAGTGATAAATTACAGGAGCTTGGGGGGGTGTAAACACTACATTATGGCAAAACCATGCCCTGATCATCTACAATGTACACCATGACAGAAGCATGTGGCTTTCAAGTAATGTAAAAAAAATCCCTCCCCCGGCCCCAAAAATTATAATGTCCTTTAAAATTGGACAAGCTTCATAAGAGAGAGAGGGAGAGGGAGAGAGAGAGAGAGAGACTTTAAAATCACAGAACTGTACTAAACACAAACATGGTTGTAAAATAGCTTGAAATGTGGTTGCCAGAACAAGGTGGATATATTTAAATGTAACCTTTAAACAAAAATAGTTGCAGTGGATGAAAAATGGCAAACTTTGCAAGATCAACTTTCAGAATGCAAGATGCAGGTGTTTAATTACCAAATGTACAAATGTTATTGTGAGTTCTCCTTCTTAAGTCTCAGGGAGACTCAGTGCTGGGCATCAGATACCCATACAAGTGCAGTAGAGGCGCAAAAGAATGTTGTGTTCTGCTAAATAAATAGATCTCTGGAAATACACCTTAGAATACAGAATCTAAAGCAATGAATGAAACGGTGAAAGAGTGGGATAGAGAGGTGTTATCGATGAGATTATTTTAACCAAGTGTGTATATGCTTTAACTGGAATATTGGTTTAATTGGTAGATTAATTAACTAAAGTAGAGGCCAGTTTTGATCATTAAGGACACAGGTTAAAGTTAAGTATTTATTTTAGCCTATTTTGATTCTATTCTGTCCCCATAACAGGGAAGGGGGGGGAGGTGGAAGGAAATGATTATAACACTGAAAATTTCTTCACACTTCTTTCAGTAAGTCAAAATGGGACCCCTTGAGTTTTTTTGGTAACATGCCAATGTACTTCATTGATCAATCAATTAACTGGTGAAAAGGCAACTTATTAATTGACTCGATTTTTTAATTGGTTGACAGCCTGTATATAACACAGTACATACATACAGCTACATTGATCCTATGACACAGAGGAAGTTGATTGTGGTAGTATTATTAGGTGGGGGGTGATCATAAGGAAAGATGCCTATGAGAGGTGTTTAAAACTTCATTTTTCACAAAAATGTATTTTGCAACTTTCACAACAAGCTTATCCGACAACCACAGATACCATTTTCAAGGTATCTGGTACTTCACAACTTCTTTTTCCAGTTGTGATTTAACTCTTCAATGTGATGTGATCTTCATTCCATTTACCCCACTTAAACAGGCAAGATTATGAAAATAAATGTTTGCTTACTTTATTTTTAGAACAGCAACACAGAAAATAATATTTGATACCAAACTTAGTGTCATCATTGGGAAGAGGAATGAGACAAGGAAAAGTCAATTTGAGGACGGGGGCCAGATGGGCAAACAAGTAGAGTTTAAACATCCCCTTTTAGACAAGTATTCAACTGTTGTTTGAGAGCAGTTCGTCTTAACTCATTTTAGGAGACACCATCTTAAAGAGGCACTTAAAATCTTTGCAAGGAAATCCTAGGCTCTTGCAGGCAAGAGGATCAAGGGTGCGCTAATAATTACAAGGCTCGTTAATATGTGGTGGGTTTTGTGGGTTGCTGTTTTTTCTATCTGCTAAAGTCATATGGGTTCTCGACTGAGAGCTTCTCCTTTATGCTACAGCCCATAGATCAGTTCAGGTTTATAGTGTGATCCAAAGGCCAGTTCTTTGTTTAGATAAACCTTAACACAGGGCCTGGAAACTAATAAAATGTCACATTGAATTAATTTGAGCTCCCATTTGTTTAACATTGACTTGCAATATAGATACATGCAGAGAAGTCTAAAGTGATTCTGTTTTGTTGTTTTTTAAGGGATGTGATTTTTTTTAAGCCCTTGTTTTCCATGTTTGGAGGCAATTTTGTTCCTTAGTTTGGGAATATGCTTCAAAAAAAAAACACCCCACCAGAAATGACTCCACAATATTTCCTTGTTGTCAGGTTATTGAAATTATCTGTTATGGAAAAGGAAAGGAAAAGAAAGGAAAGGAGAGGTTTCTGTAATCTGGGTTATTTTAATTTTCCCCCTCAAACTGGCATTTTCAGTTGAATAAAAACATTTGGAAACTGTTTCATTCTTACCAGTCTTTGGAATGCCTGTGTAAAAAATAACAGGAAGCTATCAAAATAATTTGACTATGCCTTTAATATATATGGAGCTCACTTTTCAACATATTTATTTATTTGAACATGCATTCATTTCTTTATAGTTGGTCTCTTTTTCAGATGGGAGAGAAAACCATTAAAATAGGAATATGATGGCTCCTGTACAATGATTTTTGTGGGTGTGCATTATAGAACCTGCTGGCTTGAAACATGCAACTTGTTTTTTTAATGAAATGGCAATCAAGGAATCAATTCAGAATATAAGAACAGTTAAAATATTCTAAAATTATGGCTCAGAACAGATAGATGTTTACAGTTTCTCACTCACTCACTCACTCACTCACTCACACACACCTTCAATGTAGAGGAGGCAGTGATGCTTAAAAGGTTCAAACCAAAAAAATATTCCAGCAGTTACATAAAGATACATTTTCCCTTCCTCCTAAGGCTAAATCATTTTTTGGACCAGGGCTTCGGGGGGGGGGGGGGGAATGCATCCATTGCTGCAGCTATGTTAACTGTAGAGGTCAACTTTCCTGCTTCCTTTAAAATTCACATTTTTGTCTGATAAAGAGGCTCATCGTGCAAAGTAAGCAATTTTACAAACAGGATTGTGAGATGTGTATTTTGTAGTGTGTTCTTATGAACATCTTGTAGTGGAAGTGTCTATCTGCACATTTAGATATTATATGAGTGCACAGTGCACCTGCAAACACATGCATGTATATTTATACATATTTCATACATATGCATGTTTACCATGCAGGCACACATACATTTCTACTGCATGCTAGTTATATCCGTGCAGACTTCCTGTGTGTGAAAGGCTGCTTGTGACTGTCCTCTTGTAAAAGTACTTGCCATCTTTGGCTACCAACTCATTAAAGGGTTGCTTCTGGTTTTACATGATTCGTCAACAAATTAACTGATTGCAATACATACCAATGTGCTGCAATAAATGTGAATCACTCCAGATGGGTAACATGAAGGTGGCTTGTGAATTAAGATGTATTTCCTCCTTTCTTTCTCAGCTATAGGATGCAGAGAGTTCATATTGTGGGGCCCAATTCCACCATCATCACCCCTAACCTCTTAGAAGGAATTTCAGGAAACAAGAGATGTGCTTAGATCGTTTCACAGAACACCTCTCTCTCTCTCTCTTCTTTTTACAGCTCCAATTAAAATCCACATTTTGAAATTTGTGATTAGGGAATGCATCTATAACTGGCAGCAGTTAATTGATGGGGAAGCTACGACCCTGTGCACATTCTGGGGGTGAGTGGGACTTACTTTAGAGGAAACGTGCATAGGATTGGGCTGCCCGGTTTTAAATTCTGCTTTAACTTAATAATAAATGTTGTTGTTTTCTCTTCCCAGACATTTAAACTAGACTCCAAGAATCAGGTGGGGAACACACACCCCCAAATAAAACCCTGCAGATATTAGACCCACTATCTACCATAGCTTTCCCCCTTTCTATTTTATTATTTTATTTCAAACATTACGCCTACCTCGTAGTCACACCTCCGTCCTCCACCCCGCTTTAAATTTGGGTCTTCAACCTCGGTTCTGTGCTGGGGCCGCAAGAGTTAATGAAGCCCAGCTGCACCCGACCTTTGAGGTCAAACTTTTCCTATCTCTAATCTAACGAATTAGTCAAAGAGGGGAATGGACGGTGCGCACCCCCTTTTTTTCTTGTGGGTTTTTTAACACACACACACACAAAATTAATGTTCGACTCTTAAGAACTGTAACTTTAATCTGGGGTTACCCCGGGGTTTGGTAGAATTTAAACCAACCAGCATTGTAGGCTCTGAAAAAGTAGCCATTAAAAAATATCGAGGTAAATTTGACTCCCCACCCCACCCCCTGATGTGGTGATGGAGATCATTTGTATGAGGGGGGGCGAGTTTAGCTCAAGGTCGTGCAGTTCTACGGAAAGGCTTCTCTCCCCCCCCCTTTCGATTTATGTAGCCAAGTTAGTTGACCCGCCCCCCTCCAGCTTCTTAACTCTAATGTCTACCCGAAATGCGCGGGGGGGGGGTCTCTCTCTTACAAACGCCTCCTCAGCCAAACTGCCCCACTTTGAGAGAACTTTCCTTGGAAACAAGTTGACTTTCTGGAAGAACTGCTGTATGAAGACTCGGTTCAACCTTTCTATCCCTTCGGAAAACGTGTGTTTGTGCTTGGGGTTTGAGGTTGGGGTTTTTTTTACAAGATCTCCGCCTGTTCTCCCACTGTACATTTCAGCTCCTGCTACCTTTCCGTGAGCTGAAATGAAGACACCCCAGGAGAGGAAAGAGAAGCAAACATCTCTCTCTCTCCAAGTTGTCGAGGTGTGCGTTTATTAAGATCCTTCTTTTGAAAGGAGCACACACGCACCAACTCCCATCCCACCTCCCAGCCATCTTATCAGTTCCACAACCTTCTGTCTCCCGGACACAGCCCTTCTCGTGGAAGGGGGAGTGCAAATGTGCTGTGGCAAAATGAGAAAAGTTCAACCAAGGAGCAAGCTTTAAACGCCCCTCTTCTCCAAATCGATCTGAATCGCTCCATTTACTGCGCCCGCCTCCCCACCCTAACCAGCGGAATAGTCGGACATCAAATGGACCCCCAGGAGCTGACAATCCCAGCCCCTGGGCTTCTCTTGACATCTTTGGGTGGCGGTCTCTCTCACAACCGTAAACCCCTTATATTTTATCCACACGTAGATACCCTCCAAGTACCATCGTAACGTGCCATAAACACGGTTAATAACTGGGGAGAGGGGGGAATTAAACACATGCAATTGCTTGCTTCGTAGAGGGTTAATTGAGAAATCCTCCAGGTTTTCTTTCGCCTTCCTCGAGCTAAGAGGGACACTTTCGCGGGTGGAGATGGGGGAGGCGTTGGGGGAATCCGGGTAAGGAAATGTGTGGCAGCATTTTACAGTCCTGGTTCGATTTCATTCTTCTATCCATCCCACCCCGCCCCACCGTGCCTGAAAATCTCCGGCTGTCGCGTCCAGACTCCTCTTTCTTTGAGTTGCGCTCTCCTTCTTTCCCCTTAACCTAGGATTAGCAAATATAAGAAATTCACAGCTCGCTTGCGCTCTCTCGCTCCCCCCACACCCGCGACACTCCGGGAGCTCCTAATCACTCCGTATCGATTTCGCTAACTCTTTTCATCCCGCTGAAGACACATCTTAAAACACTCCTGCTTAGAATGTGTTCTTTGCTTTATACACACTAATAAAATGATTTGCCCCCCTCTCTCCCTTTCCACTCCGCTCTCCGCGCAGTAAAATAAAAGGGGGGTGGGGAGAAAGAAAGAGAAGGAGGGGAGGGAGGGAAAAATCGTTCGGGTAACCTGACTGTTTGTGTGTGATCGGTAAATATTTAGCCTGGTGATACCTCTAGCGTCTCTTCTGGATCAATAGAGCTAGCCCAGTCTCAAAGGGAGGGGGGCTGTCCAAGAGGTGAGGTCTGCCTCAGACAGACGTCTCCTTCTCTTATAGCACAGGGACAGCAGGGAGGGAGGGAGGGAGAGATTGCCCCCCACCGATCCTACGTGCGGCTCCTTGGAAATAAGTCTGCTGGCTTTATTGCGCCTGAAATGCGCGCGGCGCAGCAGCGCAATCGGGAAAAGAGCGCGGCGAGGGGCTCGGACCCTGATACTTTCCGCCTCTCTCTTTCTTCCACTCCATTTCCTGCTCTCGACACGAAAATTGTTCTCCTCTCTCTCCGTCGATTCTCCCCCTCCGGCCTCCTTTTTAAAAAAACAAACAAAACAAACCTAAACTTTCGGCAAAGGAGCGCGCAAGTTACGCTCCCGCAGTGGGAACAAAACTCTCTGAAATCGCCGCGCTTACCAAATTGAAGGCGCAGCGGCCGAGAGGAGGGGGGGATTCTATCTGAACAATTTCTCTCTCACACAGAGAGAGGGATATTTTATATATAATTCTGAGCACGCCAAGTTAAATTTATAGGAGGCGTTTTCGAAACTTTCACTTAAGTTCTCTGGTAGGAGTCCACCTACAATGGGCAAGGAATCGCGGGTATCAAAAATACCATTCATGGTGGGATAGACAGACAGACAGACAGACAGACAGAGACTGCCTATTCCCCTTATAGGAGTCAGGAACCTGGGCGTGTTTCAATCGAAGTCACCCCCTCATTCCCGCTGGATTCCTTAGGAATAATCCCCCCAGATCACCTTGCTGGATCTGCAGCCTCACGGTGACTTTCATGCCCGGTGAAGTAAATAATGGACGGGATGGGGGGAGGGGGGGTGGGCTCAGCACTGGAGTACGAGTGGGGTCCTCACCGCGGTTTTTCCGCATAAATGGCTTCCTGTTGTGATCCAGGTGCGGGCCGAGGAAGCACTTCCTCGAGGTAAAATATGAGCCCTGGCTCCACAGAGCTCTCAAGCGTTTACCCCTGAAATGCAGACGTGCAATAAATGCACACGTGTCCTTCACATGCGTGCAATATGGATCCGTGTCCATGCAGTATGTACACGTGTCCTTCAGATGCGTGTAGTATGGATCCATCTCTTTAGTCGCATCTGTCGCTCGTCCCCCACATCCGTCCATCAGTCATGCTACCTCTCTCTTTCACGCACCGATAAATGTGCCCACCTTTTCTTTGACCTCATCTAGGGAGACCGATTCAACTATTGCCTTTCCAAGAAGGAAGAAGAAATCGCCTTAAAACGGTTGCCCCGCCGCCGCCTGCTTAGGATAAGAATGAATAGGACGCGCCAATAAAGCAGGAAAATTCTTAGGCCAGCTTGTTCACACGACAGGACAGGCACATGTTGTGGCCAGGGAGGATCTTAGGGTAAAAGGCTCGTTCTGTGTCTGAACAGGCCTTTCCCTGCCCTTCCAAGCGTAGGGAAACACCTGGGAGACCCATAGCTTTGGTGTTGCTGGGCATGGGACCCAAAGGGTTCGTGTGAACGCGGCGAAATTAATCTAGAGTGTATCTCTAAAAACAGACAGGCGATCTAGTCAACGCTAAGACACTTTCGCGTCCTGTTAGAGAAAAGCACAATGAAAGAAAGGCATCTTGAAGCTGCAGTCCTTTACCCGCTTACCTGGGAGTAAATCCCATTTAATTCAGCAAGCTTGACTAGGCAAGTATAAGATTGCTCTCACGATTTCTATTAATGCGCCTGCAGCGCATTCCCTTGAATGGGGTTCAGTCCCATATAAGAAGTGTGCATGGGACTGCAACATGAACATGCTGTTAAATTTGTTTGGATCATGCCCACTCGGTGTATCTTTCACTACGGGGGAGGGGGAGCGTAGTATTTCTGTGTTGTTGGGTTGATAATATATATCATAGTCATCTGTGTCTCTCTCCGGTAAGGATAGGCACGGAGTCTCCCAGCTGACAGATGTTTGTCTGGAATAACATAAGGACGTGAGCGTCTAAAACAAACATAAATAAACGTATAGGTGCCTGCAGTTCTTAGAGCCATCGTATAATTATAGAGACGATGCTTTCCACGCAGTTAGGTTTTCTTCCACCGCCACCCCAGAACATGGTCGTGAGAATGCGTAACTTCCAGTGCCTTTAGGGGTAGGAGGGGATAGGGAACCCAATTATTCTCCAAGAAAAAAAATGAACAAGCAAACACTCATCCTCAAATTTCTCCTTCGGAAGGCCTTTTTGGGCTGCGAAACCGACACCTTCCTTTCTCACCGAGAGACCTGCAGCCCGATCCTATGCGCGGTAACTCTGAAGTAAGCCCCCAGGGTGTTCAAATGGGCTAGAAATACAAAGGGCATGTTTCTTAAGAACTCGGGTACGTGCCGAGATTCTGCGGGTTCCCTCTTTAAAAATAAATAAATAAATATCCTGCTCCATCCAGGTAAAATAGGAATTGGGGGGGGGGGAGGAGTGAAGAGAACTAAGGCACCCTCTTCTGTCAATGTCTGGATGTTTAAAAGGAGCCCTTTCCTCCCTCCCTTCCCCCCCCCAAACCCCTTTTGCTAATAAGCAAAAGTAGAAAAACGCTTCCTCACAGAATATATCTTTATACTAATGCATATTAAATTGCCCTGTCTTGACTGGGCATATCAAACAATTTAATTAGAGGGCTTTCTACCCAAAGGAAGAAGAAAAGAGGGTGTGGAAGAGGTGTATGTGCGTGTGTTTGTGCATTTGTGTGAGTGCGAGTGTGGAATCTGCCCAGCATTTTATTGTATTTAGCAGGAATACAGGCAGAAAATGTAGCACAAGTTTGTGTCTGAAAGAGCACCTCCATGCCCATTGAAAGGCACTGATCCGAAAAGACAGAGAGGACAAGAAAAATCGATTGCCCGGGACCTTCTTCGTCCCTTTCATACCATTCAAACACCCCCTCCCACTATTCGCCCTAAGACAAAAAAAAGACCTCAGCCAGTTCCTTGGAAAAACTGGAGTGTGGGGTGGGGGAGGGAGAGAGAGAGAGAGAGAGAGAGAGAAAGAAGGACAGAGAGGAAGGAATGATCTTAAACACAATACTTTGGTTCTTCCATCGTATTACTCGTGTGTGTGTGTGTGTGTGTGTGTGTGTGAAATCCGATTCATGCTTTGTTCTGCTTTTGGGGTAAGGGGGGGCAGGAGCATTCACTCTGGGTGTAGGGAGACCGGCATGCTTTTTTAGGGTTAAAATAGTCTTCACCTCTGACCTCTCCATAGCAAAGCCTCAGATATCCTCATAACTTCAGTCAAACTTTGGAAAGGCTGATCTGCAAGGAGGCAGGAGGGGGGGGGATAATGCTGAGGCTGGAGACTGAATCCATTTGTAGCTGGTGGAATTCTCTTCTTTAAACGCCCCCCCCCCGCCCCAAATCTTTCCTCTCCGCTTTCCCTTCTTCTCACAACACAGAAGGGGAGACGTGTGTCTGAAGGTTTTCTGAAAGGGATATCCTTTGAAAGGTATTGATAATTATATCAGCAGCGAAAACAAGAGGAACTGTAATTCTATTACATACAAGCAAAGAGAGACCCTAAGAAGAATTAAATATAGTTTTGGGGGGTTCCTCTTTTGGGAAGATTGGCCTGGGTCGAAGGATTTAGGGGTGCGTTTTGATAGAAGGTGCCCCCACCAGAACCATCATCAAAATCCATCGGACTGGGATGAGTCACAATCATTCGAAGGCATTCCCAGGAAAGGGGATTTTTTTTTTTTTACAGGCCTATAATCTAAGGTCATTAATGACCTGTAGAAAATGAGTCACCTTCCCCCCTGTCCCCCCCTCTGATCAATACCCTGTCTTTCCTCTCCCCCCCCACCCTCGCCAAGCAAACCTCCTCGGTGGACGTAATTAAACTTGCTTCTCTAGTTTTTCATCATTGTTTGAGGTGGGCCAAACCCATTTGTAAATTTCATTAGCCCTGTAAACATGCAATTAACGCTGGAGGAGGTGGTGGAGTTAATTGCAGAAGCATCTTTTAAAGGCCGGGAGTGGGGAATCTAAGAAATTAGCAGAAGGGAAGGAAAGGTATGATCCTTTTGTCACCTGTGACATTTATTCACAGTACCGTTTTTCCCCAGGTACCTTCGGTGATATTCCAGCACACACGCACATTCCCCTCTCATTATTAAATTAAGTGCATTCCCCATATATTTTTCTTCTTTTTGTAAAAGCTCAGCTAAGTAAACGAAATTTGTGGCCGCTTGTAATTTTTAAACAACAACAACAATCTGTTCAGACTGAATCCCTCCCACCCACACTTTGTGCAAAATTAAGAACAATTCTAGGGGCAACCCCAGAAGCAGTTTTCTGGGGAGACTTCAAAAGGTGCTTTTCCTTCCCCATTGTGGTGGTGGGGGTGTCTGTATTAACACAAGGGGAGGTTATCTTTGTTGGTATTTTTGTTTCATTTAAATTAGCACCAAGTCTGAAAAGCACATAAAGGACCTCAGATATCTGTGGGTCGCTTTAAACGCTCCAGATCAAGGGGATCCCATGATAGAGGGTGAAGGAGAAAAGTGGCGAGGGAGGGGGGAGGAAGTTTCGGATTTATAACTCTTCGAACTTTTTGCCCCAGCTCATTCTGTTTCGCCCAAGACCCCACCCCCAATCCATTCGGTGTGGGGTTTTTTAAATATACCTCTCTTTTCCTTCATTGCCTGAAAAACTAATACTCTCTGAAGTCCTACTAACCCCGATTTCTGATGACTTTCCGCTTTGGAAGTCCATCTCTACCAATACGTGCATTAATTTGGAAGGCGCATTCCTCTCTCTCTCTCTCTCTCTCTCTCTCTCTCTCTCTCCTCTTTTCCAATCGGGGGAGGGGTGTGTGTGTGTCTGTGTGTGTTCCAAAGTGTCGTCTTTCCTGCCCCAAACAAGGTGCAACGAGGCGTTCTTCCTTCTAAGGAATGAGAAGATAGATATCTGCTACCTTAACGTTTGGGTGGGGGCTCTTTCCTCCCCCCTTTTTTTTCTTAAAGGCTAGGCGCGCATTCTTCAACCGCTGTGAAGCAAACTCCCCCTCGGACCCGCTCTGTTTAAACTTAAGAGTGTGCATATATAGGATATTATTATTATTGTCATTTCTCCTCCCTGCAGCCTGTTCCAAGGCTCCACGCTCAAAATACACAGGGGGGCAAAACACATTCCTTTATAGATTGAGAAAGATCTTATCTTTTCGTCGCTCTTTTTCTTTTTTTCTTTTTCGTTGGCTGATCCCTTCAGGTTCTCCCCCACCCCCAATAGTAACCACCCCTCGCTCTCTTTTCCAAAATCAGTTTGTACAATCGCTAAGATAAATACCAGGGCGATACGTTTTCATTGCCTAAGGGGGGGTTTTCTCCTGCCCAATTTTTTTCCTAAAAAAATAATAATTTAAAAGCCATCAGCTGCCAAACAACAGGAAGAAGATGCAAGCGATCTGGGATCTTGAACAAGGCAAATATGTTTTGGGTATGTTTCATTCTCTTTTTTAAATTTCTCTCTCTCTCTCTCTCTCTCTCTCTCTCTCTCTCTCTCTCTCTCTCCCCTTCTCCTTGCGACCTGGTTTGTGGCCGTGCGGGTCTCTCCCCCCCCCCCTCTCATTCCTTACTTATTTCATTTTAAAGGCTGAAATCCGAAGCGCAAAAGTAATGCCCTGCGTTGAAATTCAGAGAACTTCCCCCGCACCCCCGAAGTCAATGGTTTGAGGGTCGGGGACGAAAACTCTGCTTTCAAAGGTTACGTGGGGAGGGCGGGATTTGTGCCGGGAGCGTGGAGGGGGGGGGACGATGTGTGTGTGTGGACTTTACATCAACTACTAATTGAGAGAAAGGTCCCTGTGTGTGTGGGTGTATGTCGTGAAAAATATGCTTCTCTATAAAGCCCCTTTTCCAGCTATCCAAAGGGTACCCCCCCCTTCTAAATCCGGTTCGGATTCGATGATGATGATGCCTCTCTGAGTCAGAACCAGTCTAAAATCTCAAGGTCGTATTGCTGTGGATATAAGCAGTGATTGAAAAGGGGGGGGGGAGGAAAAGGGACCTCTCTAAGGCAGGGAATAGGAAATGAAACTGCAAGAATTTGTAGCCACGTGCGTTTTTGCTTGGGTTTCTCTCCCCCCCCCCCCACTTCTTCCAGGAGCAAAATTGAGTTTCACGACTAGCCTTCTTTGCAGTCCCCGTTCCGCAGCCCCGCTTTATCCTTACCCCCTTAAAATCTCTGATGGATGATAAAGTAGAGGTACTCACCATCGCCAGAGGGGATGTCTGTTGCCAAATCCAGGTTTCCAGGCGCAAAGTTTTGTTTGTTCCTTTTAATTGTTGGAAGTTGGGGAGGGGGGGGATTAATAATCTTCAGGCTGATGTCACTTAAAAAAAACAAAAAAGCCGCGTGGAAGAGCTCTAGACTTTCCCTAGCGCGAGAAATACGCACGCACGCACGCACATTCACTCGCTCACACTCGCTTCTCCCTATTAGACCGGCGGGGGGATTCCTTATCCATCCTATGTCGCCTCCTCCCTTAAAAAAAAATCACATTTTTTTCGGAAGTTTGCAAGTCCGGAGCACAAAAAGATGTTATTTTATTTTATTTTTTAAATGACATAGCTCCTTAACTGGCAATCCGGAGGAATTAATCATATTATAAACGTACAGAAGTTTAGGAGTTGCTTGCCTCCCCCCGTCTCGCTTTGCCTACGTCGTCCCCCCACGTCCCTTTCCCTTTAAGAGCAGCGTTTCTTTGAAAGTTGGATTTTTTTCAGGCCGATGAAAGACTTACGCTAGGGGGCAGACGCATACTGTACTTCTGGAGTCTTCCAGCCGGTCCTCTTCCTCCTCCCCCCCCCCACACCAATACACACACTTCTGTCCTCTCTTTCTCTCTCCATCTCTCGCTCTCCTAGCATATGTTCTAATTTAGCACTGTAAATTTTTCAGAGGGCCCGACTCTGACAGCCCCTGGTGATTTTCAAAGTACCACAAGCCAGTGGTTAAAAATTACATTGACTTGAAAGTTCAGTGTCGCACAATGGAGGGCCACTTTCCCCCATTCATAGCTCTTCGGATGGAGCTGGGAGGGGGACGCGGGGGGGGGGGAGGCAAACAACACAGTGAGCATTCATTGAGTCTTCCCCCCACGTAACCCAGCGGTTTCCCCCCACTGATTTCACTTCAGAGGGTCCAAACTTCGTTGCAAAGAAGCCAGGAAGAACTGAAGGGAGGGTTTCTTGTTGTCATTGTTGTTGTTTTACCAAACTCTCCCCATCTCCGCACCTTTCGCCAGGAAAAAATAAAGAGGGGGGGTCCCTGCTTCCCCACTTCGCTTAGCCTAACGTTTTCCTTAAAATATTCCACACTTTTTTCTATTAACAGCCCGGATCTCCTGATGATTGTACACCTGTTTTAAAAAATGGGAACGTGGATAGGTATTATTAATACCACTATTGCTTCTCCCCAGAAGTTGCAAAATGGACCCTTACTTGCAAGGCAATAAATAAGGTCTGGGATTATAACTGAGCTCTGAAAATTGACAGTTATGGATGATGAATTGGTTTGAGAATCGTTCTCTTTAAGCGATCCTATGTTGCTGTGTAATGTGGGGAGGGGGGAGAGAGAGAAAGAGAGAATGAACAGCCAGTCAGCCATGAACTTGCCAACTCCCCACCTCTGCTATTTTTAATAGTTCCATCCTTTGGATGAACAGACGTACACTATCAAAGCATTTGATGTTAGGGCTTGAGTGAGCTCCGTCTATTTTAGTTCTCAGTGATTAGTTGCTTTCTCTTTTTAAGATCCTGCAGGAAAACGATTAATACAGAAGGGTCGTTATTTCCCCTTTCGGGTTTTTTAATTTTTATTTTGGTAGTCTTTGCATTCAGCAGAATCATAAGATTTCTTCTGATAAAATAAGATATGGTGGTGATATATGGGGAGAATTTTCCTTATATAGGCTGCGATCACCTATATATCCTATATATATATTTCTATACTCTGAAACGCACACACACACACACACACACACACACACACATATATATATATATGAGAGAGAGAGAGATGGAGGGGGTGTATCAAGGCGCTAGTTCTCTGCAATCCTAGAGGCCGATTGTTTCCATCTCTTCTGGATCATAGAGGGCATCTTCCACTGTTTACAAGGCGGCCAAGTCCTTCTAATCAATAGAACATTCCACCGCTCGCTTTGAAACTGACCGTATGAAACGGACAATATTGCCAGGCTCCTCACTAGGACCAGTAACAAGCAGAGTTCATGTTACAACTTTCCTGCCTTCGTCCGTAGCACCTGCAAGCTTAGCAACAGACATTTATTTCTTCAGCAGAAAGGGGTGGGTGGTACGAACGTGGCAACGTGATAGCGTTGAGCTGATGGAAAGGGTTACAGCTCCAGATCCAGATATTTGTCTCATGTATCTGGGATCCCCATTGTCTCATTTAATATGTGTCTTGGACATACCTCGTGTGTATTTGTGTGTGTGTGTATATACATATATATACATATATATATATATATATATATATACACCCACACACACTCCAAGAAGTCTATGTGTGCAAGTGCGTGTGCGGGTATATATGAGTTATATAAATATATATACTCTCAGTTTTGAGTCTGTTTCTAGCCTGCCATTTATCATTTTTCTCTTGTCCTTCTCAGCAAATGTATTTCGCTGGAACACTTACTTCTCTGCCTGGAGGTCAGTTTGCCTCTAGATTGCAGCGCGAGAAGATCCCACAGCTAGGCGATGACTTAAATTTGTAACCTCGTCTAAGGCTATAAAATTAAATCAAGTTGCAGAGGTTCAAATGTACTTCGCCATGCTTGGGTGTTTTGTTTTGTTCTGAAATTCTCCCCCTTTCCTTCCTGTTAACATAAAAGAGGAAATATGCTTTCTTAAGGGGTGGTGAGAGAGGGGGGAACTTTGGGTCTTTCCAATCCAATGCGAAAAGGCTGTAAATGTGTTTTCTGGGTTTGATTAACTCCATCCTTTTCCTCCCTTTTCCTCTCTGATTTTTCCCCCTTCCTCGCTATCATCGCCTTCCTCCTGAGAAGGCATCTGGGTTAGATGTCTCCCCATTTGGGAGTATGTACAGGCGGCCAGGCGTTCTGCGCGTATGTATGCATGTGTGCATTTGTATGCTAATTTTCCCCATTTCTGTTTGGATTTTGGAGCAAAGGGAATGGGTTCTTGGAATGCTACAGGCTTCAGGGAACAATGAAGTGTGTGGTTAAGTATTCTGAGGTCTGTTACCCTAGCCTCTGATGTGTGCGCCCCTATACATTGATAGATGTCTATCTAATGTATGTGTCGAGCAAGCAGCTTTCAAAAGATTCCTACGCAGTGCCAGCAAATCAGTTTATCTGCATCTTTTCCCAAAACGGGCCAGCCTCCTCTAGAGTGTTAGGAAGGCTGAGACTTCCTAAGCTAGAAATGGGAATTATCTACATGCTCGAAATCCAGTTTTAACGGCCTCCCTCGCTGCACATCCATGTCAGAAAGTGAGAGCAAGTTAGTGTTTGTATCCATAGATCTCCCTACAAGACCATCGTGCCGAGGTTAGAGTGTATTCTCTTTCCTTCCTTTTTCTTTTTTTAAAAGAAGGGGTGTTTCTTTTTTAAGAAAAGCAGACAAAGAATTCTCTAACTTGCGTGTCATCAAGCAATTAAAAGTTCAACCCACCTACCTGTAGAACTTTAATCCGAAATGGGCAGCGTTTGTGTCAATCTGTGTCAGCACCGCTGCGACCCAAGCTGTCTACAGTGCTGCGTTTGTCTAATTTCTTTAACCCAGGCACATATAGCTCCCCTAACGCCACTGCTCAGCTGAAATGACTCTTCCCTATAAGAACGAAATTGTTTTTCCTCACCTAAGCTCAGCAACAGTGGCAGGAAGAGGATAGAGCTGTCTCTCTTCCTCAAGCCTCAGCCTTTCACAGGGGGGTGGACCGTACTGTTGGTCTCCCAGCAAAAGAGTTCAGAAAGTCCGTCGTCTCACAAAGACCTGTCTAGCATCCTTTAAAAAGAAGTGGTGTCCCGACCTCCACCCACCCTCTCGCATATGTGTGTGTGTGTCTGTGTGTCTGTGTGTGTCTGTGTGTGCGCGCAAAATCAAGACTATTAAAAAAAAAATCATTGCTAGATCCCTCATTCCCATAATAAATAAAATATGTATAATGCTTCTTCTTTTTAAAAGAAAAATTCCCCCTTCAAATCTTACTTTTGTTGCTCTGAGTTTCAAAGCTGGGTGAAAGAAATTGGGGGGGGTATGGAGTGAGAGAAAGAGAGAAGAAGGGGGGAAAGGAACAGGGCGCGCGGGGGGGGGTGTTGACGAGATAGAAAGGAGCAGCAGCAGAAGAAGAAGAAGCAAAGAACATAGCTCCCTTTAGGACCTGGCGGACTTCCCGGGGCTCCAGCCATCCCAGCCGTGCACAAGGCTGAACTGCCCAATGAGGGGCGAGGGGAGGTCCGGGAGCTTTTGACCAGTCAAAGGCAGCCTCTTGCCTTATAAGGCGAGCGGTCGCCATGGCAACGTGTGCTAAGTTGCAGCCGTCGTGTCAAAGTTCACTATATAGAGAGCTGGGTGAGCTGATCGCGGAGAAAGCGTTCGCCACTCTCCCCAGCCCCGCTCCTATAAATCGCATTCACTCCTTTAACCCCCCCCCACTCCACCTACCCACCCACCCTCCTTAGCATATTTGATCACTGGGATTCTCGGTCTCTCTCTTTTTTTTCCCTTGCCTCTCTCTCTCTCTTTTCTCCCTCCCCTCCCTTTTCTTTTTCTTACCCCCGTTTCTCTCTCTCTCTCTCTTCTCGCCTTCTCTCTTTCTTCCTTTCGCTGCCCCCTCCCCCTTTACCTTTTTGTGCGCGTGCAAAACCCTCTCTCGCTTGCCCCCATCTCTTCTGCTTGCAAGGAGAGCTCTCTTCCTCTCTTCCCCCCCCCAACCCCCAGCGCCAAAGGACCGCTCCAAAATCTCCACTTTTGCATGCATGCAAAAAGAAAAGGGGGGGAAATCTGGTGCATTTTTCCTTCCCCTCTCTCTCTTTGCTTCTGATATTTATTATTAATTCTTATTAATTTCCACCCCTTGCTTACCCCCACCCACCCACCCACCCAACGACACCCACTCGGGCCCCCGCCTCCCCCTCCCCCCTCCTGCACTCCTTTTATCCTTCTCCCTAGCTGAGGGGGGCGGGTGGGTCGGGGGGCTCCTGAGCTTGGGGAGAGTTCACTCTTCTCTCGTCTCCCCCCACCCCGCTCTCGCTCTCTTCCTCGCTCGCTCCCTCCCCCCAGCCCTCTCTACCCACCCACCCACCTCCTCCAGTGCCGCCGCCTCCCTCCCTAACCCCCTCCCTCCCTCCCTCCCTCTCTCTCTCCCTTCCCTCGCCTCCTCCTCCTCCCCTTATCGCCCCATGTGTTGTGCGAGGAAGCAGCTTTGCTAAAGAGACCCACTTGCGAAAGAAACGGGAGCAGCATAAGGCAGCGGCAAGCGGCGGCGGCAGCAGCAGCAGGAGCAGGAGGCGGCGGCTGCGAGCGAGCGAGCGAGCGAGCGAGCCGGAGTAGCCTCGGCAGCAAAGGAGGAGGGGAGGAAAAAAAAAAAAGAACGAACAAACGAACGAAAGAAAGAAACGGGGGAAGAAAGAAGCGAGGAAGGAAAGAAAGAAAGAGCTGGGCGAAAGAAGAAGAGCGAGGCACGCCGAGAGAGAGAGGGACGCACCACCGAGGAACCAGGGGGGAACCCAAACCCCCCAAAGGCTCCCTTAGCCTATTTCGCGTGTGTGCGTGTCTCGTGTGTGCGCGCGCGTCCCGTGTGTGCTTTTTTTGTTTGTTTTCTTTGGCCAGGGCTTTTTCTTTTCTTTTTCTTTTCCCTCCCCCCCCTCCCTCCTTCCCTCCCTCCCGTCCTCCTCCTCTCTTCTCCCTCCCTGCCTCCCTGGTTGATGTTTCTACAGCTTCGCCAAACTCCGAGCGGGGCATCCGATCCCAGCACTCCCACCGGCGGCAGCAGCGGGAGGAGGCGGCGGCGCAGCAAGGACGGGGCTCCGGAGCGCCGCGCCGAGCGTGGGATCTTCTGCCGCGGCGCCTTTCGCTCTTCTCCTCCAGCGGCCGCGCGCCGGAGTTGCTGCTGCTGCTGCTGCCGCCGCCGCCGCCGCTGCGAGCTTTCCCCCCTCTCTGGCTTTTGATGGCTTTCCTGAATGGCTGACTGCGGGCTTCTCTGGATCTGGCCCCCAGACACCAGCCTCTCCTCCTGCAACTCCGCTCGGCTCCCCGAGAGAGAGGGAGGGGGGCACCTCTGAAGAGAATCGCCTCTCTCTCTCTCTCTCTCTCTCTCTCTCTCTTTCTCTCTTTTCCTCCTCTCTTCCTCTTTTGTATTTTTGTTGTACTTTTCTCCTTTTTTCATTTGCTACCAGACAATCGCCTCCAACCTCTTTGCTCTGTTTCCCTCTTCCTCGTCCCCTCTCTTCTTTCTTCCTCTCTCTCTCTCTTTCCTCGTTCTTGCTCTACTTTTCTTCCCCTCCCCACCCCACTTTGGTGACCCGCATTGCTGACTTTATTTTGGGGGACTGCCCAGCAAGGAAAAAGTGGGGCGCAAGCAAGCAAAGAAAAAAAAAGGACATTAAATTAATTTAAAAAGAAAGGACCAGAGGAGGGTAGAAGAGAAGAAGAAAAAGAAGGGAAACCGCACACAAGCCGAACAACTTCCATAAAAAAGGGAAAAAAAGAAGGGGGGAACAAAAAACTCGCCAACGCGAACTGGGGAGGACAGCAAAAGAAAGAGAAAAGAAATAAAAACAAAGGTGGACTAAATTATATATTTATATCTATCTATATCTAGACAGAGAGATAAATAGGTCTCTCTCGCAAGGACGCTTCCTAGCTGAAGAGCTGCGGGCTCAGCCCTCGGAAGAAGCGGGTCCGCTGGCAACCGAAAGCTACGGGGGGCGAGCAATTTGGCCAAGGTGTCCCATAGATATGGCAATGGTAGTTGGCACGTGGCGAGACCCGCAGGACGATGTGGCCGGCCCGCAAGGAACGCAGCCTTCGCAAGCGCCCCCTGTGCCGGGACCCCCGACGGGCGCCCCGCACACCCCGCAGACGCCGGGCCAAGGGGGCCCTCCCAGCACGCCCGCGCAGACCAACCAAGGCAGCCAGCAGAGCCAGGGCGAGAAGCAGCAGCAGCAGCAGCACATCGAGTGCGTGGTGTGCGGGGACAAGTCCAGCGGCAAGCACTACGGGCAATTCACGTGTGAAGGCTGCAAGAGTTTCTTCAAGCGCAGCGTCCGCAGGAACCTCAGCTACACGTGCCGCGCCAACCGGAACTGTCCCATTGACCAACATCACCGCAACCAGTGCCAATATTGTCGCCTCAAAAAATGCCTCAAGGTTGGAATGAGACGGGAAGGTATTGGAATTTCATTTGTTTTCCACTTCTCAACCAACCCCGGTGGGGAGGGGAAAGAGGGCGGGAGGTCTCTGGATTTGCGTGCGCATGTAAACAGAGACCAGCGTGGGATGAGGAGGACTAGGACCGTGGATTTTAGAGATGGGTTGCTTTCTGGGATTGCATAGCTTGTGTACATTTCCTCTTCTTTTGCCATGGCCTGGAATGGGGAGTGTGTTGCTGTCCTTGGGAAAGCAGGGTTAGGTGAGTTTAACAGGACAAGGAAACGTGGTGTGGAGTGTGAGAGGCTGGGGGTGGGTGGAATGCGTTTCCCTGACAAACATTGGCCCGCTTGTTGATTCCAAGAAAAGCTAGATTCCATTTTTATTTTATTTTATTTTTCCTCTCAACCCACCAGCCCCAAACACAATGACTACCCCACGAAAATGCTGTGCGTTATACCTTAGAATGGATTCTGTCCAACGGCGGGGGTCAAAGGCAGGCTGGGATATTTCTCCTGCTGGCCACCCTTCCACCGCCCGCAGCGATCCGTAGGCACCACCACTCCCCAAACAACGTGCAAGATAACCTCAGACGTAGCTCTGTAACTTCTCTCCCTTCCCCGCGTTGCTAATCCCAATAATCAATCAATCAGTCAATTGCCAGAGAGGTTCCCTTCGGTTAGAAATTCCGCGAGGCTTCTTCCAAGAATTCCCGGGGCTTTCTCTCCTCCCCAGTCCGGGCGAGAAAGCTCAACCTCGCGCTCTCAAAACACGCGCGCGCGGGGTCCTGTTTGGCCTATGCCCCTGATAATAATCAAGATTTCATTTATGTATTATTCCAGTTCTTTTTTCCCGGGGGTTGGGAGGGTGGAGGAGAGCAAGCCGGGTTGCGGGTCGGGGGGCGGGGGAGTGGGAGAGAGCGATCGGGGATCTTAAGCACCGGAAGGAAACACACAAATAAATACAGAGTTTAAACCAGGGAGGTTTCTGTGAGCAAGATGGAGCTCGGTGGTGGAAGATTCCGAGAGGGCAAGGAAAGGCGAGCCTGTAGCTTCCTTAATGGCGTTGCGCTCGCCTCCTCCTCCTCTCCCCTCCTCCCAACCTCCGGTGTCTGGCTTATGTTTGGGGGTTAAAGGCTGCCCTCCTTCGCTCTCTGAAACGCTCAATCTCCAGCTTGGGCCACGTTGGAGCCAGATCCAGCCCCTGCAAAATAAAATAAAAAACATTCTTTCGTCCACATTCTCGTCTTCCTTCTCCACCCCCCTTCCTCGGCGCTTTTGTGGGTCTTTCTCTCTTTCATTTTCTCTCGTCTTGTCACCATGTAAATTTATGAACCAAATGAGAGGCCCACTTTCCATAAAAACAGCCGATCCCGGGGTTTTCCAAAGCTTCGCTCCCACCCCCACCTCTGAATGAATGGCGAGGAAATGTAACAATAGGCCGTGCTGTTTGATATTATTTTATTTTATGGACGCGTGTGGCTGCAGTTCTAATCTGATCTCTCTCCTCCTTTGATATAGATTGTGTTGTAGTTTTAAAAAGGAAGCAGCAGCAACTCTCCTTCTTCGGGGAAAGCGGCGTTTGGAAAATATGGGGAGGGGCCCCTTGCCTGCCAGTTTCTCCCTTCAAAAAAAATAAATAAAATAGCGATGTGGAGAGAAGATAATTCGAGTATTTTATTTTAATTGTGTTTTGATACGTCTGGCGATTGAATGGAGGGGCGGAAGAGCCGCTTGTGGTTGTGTTTTGCCCGCTGGCTGTTCGTTTGGCCAAGGAAGGGGCATTACTTTTTGCCTTCTGCAGTTCCCCCCCCCCCAAGCTTTTGATCCCTCACCCATCTTTTCTCCCCGACCCACAAAAAAAGTACATTTGGATTGACACCCGCTGACATATTTGCCAAAGTGCTGGTTGTTGTCTTCTCAGCAATTTGGGGAGTGAGAGACCCGGCTTCTCTGCACCTCCTTGACCATCCTGAGTTTCTTTAATTCACCCTTGAATCTGAGCAAACTCCCCCCCCAAAAAAAAAATAAAAAAAAATAAAGTAGCTTTAGATGTGCTAGCTCCAGAAGGGGCTTCCTTAGCAATTCAGATATTAATTGCTGTAGTTTCTTCCTTATTTACTGCAGCCGTCCAGAGGGGCAGAATGCCACCTACTCAGCCGACCCACGGCCAGTTCGCCTTAACCAACGGAGACCCCCTGAACTGCCACTCGTACCTCTCCGGATATATCTCCCTGTTGCTGAGGGCAGAGCCTTACCCGACCTCGCGCTTCGGCAGCCAGTGCATGCAACCCAACAACATTATGGGCATCGAGAACATTTGCGAGCTGGCGGCTCGGATGCTTTTCAGCGCCGTCGAGTGGGCCCGGAATATCCCCTTTTTCCCCGACCTCCAGATCACCGACCAGGTGGCCTTGCTGAGGTTAACCTGGAGTGAGTTGTTTGTCCTCAACGCGGCCCAGTGCTCCATGCCCCTCCACGTCGCCCCGCTCCTGGCTGCCGCCGGCCTGCACGCCTCGCCCATGTCCGCCGACCGAGTTGTAGCCTTTATGGACCACATACGAATCTTCCAAGAACAGGTCGAGAAACTTAAGGCCTTACACGTGGATTCGGCGGAATACAGCTGCTTGAAGGCCATCGTCCTTTTCACCTCAGGTAAGCCACAGGGTGGGGGCTCTGAGGAGAGGGAGGGAGCGAGGAAATCTGAAAGTCTCCCCTGCCCCAACCCAGCTCCCTTGGTTTTTCCGTGAGAAAATTCGGAACGGAACTTGTAACACCGCAACTGGGGGTTTTTTTTGGGGGGGGAGGGAGAAGCAATGAGCAGATTACATCTCTCATCCTATTTATTGCATGTTTACTCGGAAGTAAGGCCCGCTGCGTCCAGTGTTAGTTCAAGGGTGCCTAGCATTGAAGCAGAGAGAGAGAGAGAGAGAGAGACGTTTTATTTTGAGGAGGAAAACCCTCCAAATATTCTGCCTTCAATTTTAATGTAATATGGACAGAATAACTTTTTTATTGAGCCATGTGCAGTCACTGTTGGGGAAGGGGGATAAAGACTTTTGCTAAATGTGCAAATAAAATAACCTCTGGGTTGATATAGTTAAAGCATAGCAAGTTGATAAATAACCAGAGTATGCTGGAATCTGATCTTTTTAAATATATATAATAACCAGTGGAATTCCTAACCAAGCAGAAAGCCTACTTCAAAGGAGATAGAAGAATCCTAAAATTAAAGGGATATTGGAGGGTGATATGTGCTGGAGCTCTAACTAGAGTATCCAATAAACAAATCAATCGCATTCTGGAAAGGACTGAGGGTGAATAAACTCTCATGGACCTGGCGGCCTTGGAGCAGATTGCCAAGGGGGAGAAAGTGGGTCTAAACCATGGTCAGAGGGGCTGGGTGTATTTTAAATAATAATGATAATAATAATAAGTTGAAGCAAGAATGTGTGTTTGGAATTCAAGTTGCTGCCCCCTATACAAAAACCTAGCGGTAGTGGCAATACTCATGCATAACAGCAGCAGGGATGAGGAATGTGAAGAAGTGTTGCAACTGTAGTCCCTGAATTGCAACATTATGGGTTTCTGTTTTAACTCCTCTTTAAAGAAAGACAAAAAAGAAATCCATGTTGAAAAAGTGTCACTTAGGCTGCAGTCCTTTATCAGAGTTGCCTGGAAGCAATCCCCATGAAACTCTGTGGAGCTTACTCCTGAGTAGATGTGTAGAGTTGCACTGTTAAACAATCAAAAGTGCCAAAAAAGAAGGGGGGGGGTTGGAGAGAGAGAGAGAGAGAGATTTCAGTGCCAACTTTCTGCTGCATATAAATAGCGCTACAGTTATAAAACAATAATGGAATGCATGATGAAATCTAATTAGCTGTGGTTCAACCTGGGTGAGTAATATATCTGATATTAACTCTGGAGGCAACATATTTTCAAGACATACTTTCTTTTTAAAAAATTGTAATTCATCGGATCAGGCCTCTAACAGTATGCTAGATTCTCAGAATATAAATAGTGATGTGTGTGTGTGATCTTGTAAGTAATGGGGCAGCCTTGGGTAGTGGTCATGTGATGACCATATGAATGGAGGCAGGATCTGTAAAGTAATCACTCATTGGTATATAGATAGATAGATAGATATTTTTAAATATTTTCTTTCATTTTAAAAATACCTTTGATATGAGGAAATAGGCCGAGGCATCAGTAGTTTATGTGGGAAAATTAGGATTTACAATCCAGTCCTTGTTATGTTAAGGGAGGTCTGAGGAAACAGAGTGCCTTTCTGGACATTATCCAAAATTTAGGTCGTGACCTGAACTTCCTTTTATATATTATTGCTTTCCACAGTTACACCTCTGCCTGCCCCCACCCCCTGGCCAAAAATATTTGTTGCCCACCTAAATTAGTTGGACTCAGAGGTGATCAATTATCAGAGGCAGCACTAGAAAGGAACAGTGTGCTTGTGTGTGTGTCCTCTATTAAAAGGACACATTATTTCCTTCTTGGGGATCTTCTCTGAGCCTCTTAAGGCCTACATATGAACCCCAAACATTTGATTTCAAATCTGGTGTTGTAGTGGGTTGCAGTAGTGTGATTAATATTGCTACCTTTGTGGGGGAAACCTCTCAGCTGTTGTCTAAAGTGCGAAATTTATGACTGTTTGCAAAATGTGGATCTGTATGTAAATTGCCTTCCCAGCTTAGATAAAGCTTCTGTTATCTGATTTTGTGGGGTTATAAAACATGGGGGGAACGGATGCAGGGATTTGTCAGCTAAGACGCCCCAATAGCACTGGGGCTGATGTGTTATTTAGATGTAGAGAATTTTCATATAATATTTACTGGTGCTTTCTATAGAATCTATATCTGGATTCTAATGGCTTTGAAAAATATGCATGTGTTAGTGCTTTGCCCAGCCAGCTAAGGTCACAACCTGAGCAAAGGCAGCTTCTGATTAAAAGGGACCTCATTGTATTTTAGCCTGTCAAAAGTGGGGCAATATATATATCTATATATTAGTGCAAAGCGTGGCAAGAATTCTAAATTGTTTTTAAACAGTTTTTTTCTTTTTTCTTTTTAAAAAATCGTATCTTACAGATGCATTTTTAAAAAATTAAAAGTATATATTCGTATGATTGGAAAGAAAGGCGAGGAAAGAAAGGGGAGTGGGAGAGACAGAGAATGAGAAGGGGAGAGAGAGAAACAGCTCTAATGAAGAGAGCGATCAGAGTTTGCTTGGTTGCCTTTGAATAGGCTAAACTGACAAGATCAGTTTTAAAGGACCACTTAAATCACTTTCAAAGACTGAGGGAAACGGCGGTGTCTCCTTTAGGGGGGAATCGCTTTTTGGGTGCGGGGCTCCATTATCCTGAGTTGAGCCAGTTTCTTAACGTGTGTGGGTTTCTGCTGCCTTCTTCCTTTTTTTATGAAACTCTCTTTTCTGGCCTTTGAGATTAGACTCAGCACAGTTATTTCCCCAATGCGAGCATGTGTGTTGTGAGGAAAGACCATGTCTTATCTTTCTCCTTCTCCATACACCCCCGCCGCCAAAATACTCCCCCCCCCCCCGCCGCATCCCAATGCAGTGAAAATCTGGTGAGATCACTGAAAGGTTTGGGGCTAATTTTAAAATCAAGACCTCAGGCCAAAATCCTGGCCGGGAGGGGAGACTTTTGGAATATTATTTTTTAAAAAGAAAAAGAAAAAAGAGCACGTGCTCCTGTTGAAACCGAAAGAAAGAACAGGAAGATCCAAATGCGTGTTTACTCAGAGGAAAAATCTTGCTGGACTGGCTCCCTAGGAAGCGTGCAGACAGGACTGCAACATGACTCTCCTCTGTGCTTGGGATTGTAGCTTGAGCAGGGCTTAACTTGGACTGAATCATGTCCTCGCGGCTTATTCGGAAGTCCAAGACTTGAACTCAGCGAGCCTGACTTTCAAAAGGGAAAATAAATGCCTGTAGGTTTGGAGGGAGAGATCCGCAGATTTGGGCGCGCACAAGCAGATCGACCCAAAGCACGTTGACCCCCCAAGTTCCGCAGGACTTAAATCGCTAGGAAGCAAGTCTCAAAAGATTTCAAGAGCAGCGTCTATCTTGCAACGCTCACGACTTCATCCTTACAGTTCTTAGCTGTGATTTTATTTACATTATTACTATTGTTTTGATTGCGGGGGGGGGATTGGTTTTTAAACCATTCCAAGGGGGGACTATAACTTGTTTGATACTGACGACACTTTCCCCCTCCCTTCCCCTCTCTCTTTGAAACCAACTTTCTTCCAGATGCGTGTGGTCTCTCCGACGTAGCCCACGTTGAAAGTTTACAAGAGAAGTCCCAGTGTGCGTTGGAAGAGTACGTAAGGAGTCAATATCCGAACCAGCCTACGCGATTTGGAAAACTGTTGTTACGCCTCCCATCTCTCCGCACCGTCTCTTCCTCAGTCATAGAGCAATTGTTTTTCGTCCGTTTGGTAGGTAAAACCCCCATAGAAACCCTTATCAGGGATATGTTACTGTCTGGAAGCAGTTTTAACTGGCCTTATATGGCCATTCAATAAGGGGAAAAAATGTTGGAGAGAGGAAAAAACAAACCCACAGATGAGAGAATTTGAAAAAAAAAAATTGGAAATTTTGGAACGGAGGATTTTTGCGAGTGACTTTGGGGTCTGGCGGTTGTTTAAACGTCCTTCAGCTAAGCAAGGATGTTGCATCTTGGCTAAAAATGAAGAGAGAATAATTGGAATGGACTGAATACTAATTAAAAAAAAAAAAGACTTGTGATATGAACTTTTTACAGACTGAATTAAGAATTCCCCTGTTGTCCAGAAGTTGCTACTTCTCTCTCTCTCTCTCTCTCTCTCTCTCTCTCTCTCGTTGTTTTTTTAAAAGAAAAGGGGAAAGGATTTTTTTTCTTTTTTTCTTTTCTCTGGGGTGTTTAACTTGAAACACAATCTCTTGCTAAAAGTGCATTTAAAAGAAATCTGGAGAAAATTAATGGAATGGAAACAAGTCTCTCTCTCTCTATCTCTCTCTATCTCTTTTCCAAATTATTAATTTGTCCTATGTTGTCTGTGTACCTATAGGGTTTTGTTTGGGGTTTTTTTTTTTGGTATTTTTTCTGGTTCCAAACCAGTTTATTCTGTGGTTCTATAATAATTTTGATATAATCTTGCCTTCATTTAAAAAACAACAACTACAACTGTGTATCCTTTTTAAAAAAAAGTTCTGAAAGAATTAAAACTGTCTCAGAAAGGTTTATGAGAAGAACATAAAGAGAAGGGAAAAAAATTCCCCACAATAGTAGGAAAGATGGAAGCGCACTTACAACTAGTCAGCCAAAATTTAGCTCCAAGCTACGACAGCTATAATTATTGAGATCGAATAAAAGAGAACCACAACTATTCCCCCACCCGCAAGCCCACCTTCCCTTGACTAGGTTTTTATATATATATATCTATTTTAAAGACAAAACATGAATTTTGGAAGGGAATGCGTATTTCTTGGAGGGAGAAGGAATTGTGTCTAAGACACAACACAGTTTTGATGAAAACACACATACACACACGCACACAAAACCACACATAGGGTTTCATCACAAAGTGAACTTTTTTGTAATTTGAATGAAAATTGGGTTCCGCCTAGTTGTCCTAAATTGTTACCAAGTTCCTCTATCTGTTTGTATATTTGCAAGCTCTTTGTATTATAATACTTGTTGATATTTTCCCTTTTTTTAAAGAAAAAAGAAAAAAACCATTGAATTCAGCATGACAAAAAAAAATAACACTACTGTTGGCACTTATAGATAATGTGGTTGATTCAGTATCTTAGAGTTTACAGTTTTTGTGTTTTAAAGAAAAAAAAGCTGAAGGGTTTTTTTTTTAAGTGCAACATTTCTGTATACTGTAAAAGTTATAATAACTGAAAACTGTTTGGTCCAGTCTTTGTGTGTTATATTCCAAGGAAAAATTGAAAGTATTCAGAAATTAAAATATTATTTGATATCTGACACCTTGTATGGCTCTCCTAAATGTCTTGGGGTAAAATATTCCTATTTATTCTTCTGTTGAAGAGGTTTTGGTCCTTGGATAGATAGACTCTGCTTCAAAATCGGCTTGCAACACAATAGGTGTTGTTTCTGTGTGTTTCCTGTAAAATAGATGGTGGTGGTTTGGTGGTGCTGGTGAGATGTTCCAGCTTCAGCTCCTGGTTTAATTGTGGCTTCATGAGGTCTCCAACCTGATCCTCAATATGTTTGCCCCCAAATAATTTTCACAACCTGTGCGTAGAGTACATAGGGTTGCAACCTAAGATGGCAACATTTCCTTTCCTCTTGTCCTCTTGATAATTACAAAAAATAATACTAGTAATAATAACTGCAGAGGGGATGGTTAAAAGAGCAATGACCTATTAATTCTGTCACACTTAAGTGCCTACATAGGAACTGATATACACACACGTACACAGAAACACACATATGTATGTATGTATGTTTTGTGAGTATATAATCTGGTTGAAGCCAAGTGGCATTATTGAAAATGTAGGTCAGTTGTTTGCTCTGAATCCCAATGTCTGTGACATAGAGAAGAACTCTGGAATTGTTGTGTGCTGGTTGTCACTGAGAGATCTTTTCAGCTCAGAAGTGGATTTGCATAGTTTCCTCACCATTTCTTTTCTTTTAGAGAGCCAAAGATTCTCAGACCATAAGACGCAATGTACAAGTTGTGTGTGTGTGTGTGTGTGTAGGCACCTAGCATTATAAAAGAAGGACTTATAATAATGCTTTCTGAGTCTAACTATAATAAGGAATAAGTATGATTGATTCCAAAAGACACTGCACTTAAGGCTGCAGTCCTATGTTAGGAGCGAGCCCCACTGAATACAATGGGATTTATCCCGAAGGAAGCACACAGGAGATTGTGCTGTAAATAGTAGTGTATTTGTTTCAACCCAACATATTGAGTAAAGGCCAGATTCCCACTGAAATTATTGGCTCCAGTATCTGTTGCCCTCAAATTACTCAAAAACGCTTCCTCCGTCCCCTCCTACAGTCAACTTTTCTTACTCTCCCTGCGCTTCAGTTCTCCAAAGCAGGTTGACAAAAACTCTGATGTCTTGTGAATTTGTGTGGGAGGAGGGAAGTATAGAGGGTACTCAAAATAGCCTCTTGTCCCCTCTTCTAAGGCTTTCTGCCCCCACCCCCAGCCACACATTCTGACCTATACATACATACATACATACATACATACGGAAAGAGCCCACCAGTTTGTGAACTACACTCCATCTCTGGCCTGCTTCAGTTCCAGACATATGGACCAGATATTGTTTTTATTTATGTATTTTCGAGGAATAGGTGTACTCTTTGCGAATGGCTGCAAATGATTCTTTTTCCTATGAACCCAAGGCACTTTTGAGATGCATAGATAAATATGCTTGCTGGTTTAGAGATGAGAGTGATCCTCCGGTTTTAGTGGTGCTTTTCGTGCTGGTTACTGTCTGCTACTCTAAAGGATGTCTGTGTCTGCGAATGAACTTAACAGGGGAACTTAACCCTTCTCTAACTTCACCTCGAAGTGTCTCCCCCCTTTTGGCCTGCTTGCTTTCCGTGTGTGGTGGGGTTTGTTCTTAAACAATCGTTTACTGCAAATGTGTTTCCTGGCATATTGCAACTTGATGATGTTCAGCTCCTCAGAAAAGCCATTCCTTGATTTTTCTTCTTCTCCCCCCCCAACCTTCAGACATCTGGGCTGTTGCTCAGTTGTTCTTCCTCTATATACCTGTCTCTCTTGGCGTTACTTTCCCTCCGCTCCCTCGCTTCCCCACGTTAACTTCCTAATCGAGCTTGGACTGGAGAGATGGCGGCAGAAAAGAGCTGAATGTAAAAGGGGTTCAACAAAAACCCAGTTCCAGCCACCACCACCACCCCGCCATTCCACTTTCCTTCTTCTCCCTCGGTAAATTTTCCATTCCATTCCCCTTGCCTCTCTCTCTGTCTCCATATATGCATCCATATATTTGGAAAAGCTCCGAGGTGGAGTTGTTTAAAGGCTTTCAGATAGGTGTGAGTTTATGGCATTTAAGGAAAGTTTTTCTTTGCCTGCTGACTTAGAACAAAGGAGCTCCCCCCGAGCAATTGAGCCGGACAAAGGAAGTGGGCCCGGACTCAGAAGGAGTCCTATGTGAAATTGACTAGCTCTTATAAAAAGCTGCTAAATACGAGCAACTCTTTTCTCTTGAAGTGTCCGGAGATTTCCCTCAAGCCTCCCTCTCTAGGGTGGTTGGATTTCTTTAAAAAATAAAAATAAATCTGAGTTCTTCCCCTTCCCAGCACCAGTGTTGGAATTATAAGTAAAATTATTAAAGTGACTCTCCACTTAAAGAACAGCAGGGGAAAGAGCCTTTGAAATACGTTTGTTATTAATAATGTTATTAAAAGCACATATGGGAGAAGCTCTCTTTCCGCCCACTTCTCTCTCTCTCTCTCTCTCTCTCTCTCTCTCACACACACACACACACACACCCCTTCTAATTTTCTCTCTCCTTCGTCCTGCCCTCTAGCAATTAACTTCACTATACTGGACCGGGTGAAGGGAGAGGGGGAATCTTATTCCGAAAGTTAAAGCATAAGGGTTTGGGGGATCGAGCTTGCCTTAGGACAAGACAGGGCGAGGATCGCGCGGAGAATAATGGAGGCTTTGAAACGCACGCCAGCGAGCGGTAGCATACACGCAACTCGCGCGCAGGCCTGTTTAAAAGGTTACTCGCTGCGGATTGCGTTCACTCCGCTCGTCTGACGCTAGATCTCACGCTCTTTCTCGGTTCCCCACCCCCAACCCCGTAGCAATTACTGGAGAGACAGCAGAGTGGATTCGTCCTCCTCAATGCCGTTTTTTGGCGGGGAGGGGAGGAAATATGTTTGCGGTGTGTGTTTGGGGAGGGGGAGTAGATAAAGCGTGTGAAACTATTGCCTTGAAGCTGGGTTGTCCTATTAACTCAGCCAACATGGCGTCTCCCAGAAGTGTACTGCAGAGAGAGAGAGAGAGAGAGAGAGAGAGAGAGTGTCCTGCTAGGCAAAAGGAATCGCGTTGTGATGAGGAGAGAGATCTTTCCCTTCATCCTCGTAATAAGTCAGGAGGAGGCTGGTATTTAAACGCATACACAAGGCTGCAGGCAGCGGGGCACCTCTCTGCAAAAACTCCCAAACCAGCAATCGAGTCAAGGCAAGTCCAGTGGTTAGCTGTGGATTTAAAGAAGCAAGGATGTGTGCGTTAAAGGGGGGAGATATTACAAACCCTCCACAGCTACACTGTCCAGTTCTCCATCACAGGATTCCGAATGCCCAAACTTGTGCTGCTCTCTCTCTCTCTCTCTCTCTCTCTCTCTCTCTCTCTCTCTAGCAGATCTCGAAATGGATAGATTGGGCTTCGAGGTGCTTTTCATATAGGGTGGCTCACACGTGCATCTATCCCTTGATGTCATGCTCCTAATCCTAATTCAGTGTGAATAGAAGCCGTCCACAACCTCTTGAAATCCATTCTTGGTCACAGGATCACTCACTTCAAATGTGGAATTACTTTGCTTAGTACATTTATACACTTAGGTGGGGAAGTCTGTGGACAGGGCTTGAGCGGGTATCTAGGAGATATTTAGAGGAAAATGCCCGCCTTCTCGCCTCTCTTCAATCTAGCATAGGGGTTGGGGGTTGGTTCCCCCACCCGATTCTAGGATAAGGTTTATTTTCCTATCGTCTTCCGTTTGGGGAAGGGACTTAAAAGAGATTTGCTGCGGTGGTCTGGCGTTAGGTATCCGCAGAGGGGCGGACAGACGTGACTGAAGACATCCGTATTGCAAAGGCGAAGGGATGGGCGGAGAGGGGCTCTCTTTCAGCTTAGGGTACACGTCCGAATCTAAATTACCTGGGAACTCAGCTTGTTTTAAAAGCATCCCTTTCTTAAGCTCCACGACCATTGGAGAAAGGGGGGTTGGGAGAGAATCCCTCTGCAGAGCGTTATTTAATTTTTTTTTAAAGAAGTGATGAAGCGTTTTTGTGCTTGGGTGTGTTGTCAATCTCATAACAAAAGGTGCTCTTTAAAGGAATGGCGTTGGGAGCTTGATCTGCTGCGAGAAACCCAAAAATCAATGAATTATTATTAATATTTTAGGGGAAAGGGGGAGAGAGCGTGTCTTGTCTACATAGAAGAGAGACGGTTCTTGACGAAGATGCAGGCCTTCTTAGAGTCTATTGAAAAGGGAGGCTAGGAGTTTACAAGAGGGGAAAAGTGCTTCTGATCATCCCCTCCCTCCGTCCGCATTTTCTCCTCTATCTGTTAAGCTTCCCGCAGCGCGGCTGTCTACTTAATGGCAAATTTTTACCTCGTTGCGGTCATTTTAAAAAACGCTTAGTCCTAGTTGTTTGTTTGTCACAGGAACTTCTAGGTGCCCCCTCCCACCCCCACCCCGTCGCCCCAGTTTAGGAATGAATGTTTTGGTATTTATTTGGAAAGAAGGTTGCGATCCTTCCTGCTTGTCCTTTAGAGTAAACACCACGAAAGAGAACAGTTGCTGAATTTGCGTAAACATGCATTAAGAGTGTTGTGTTTTATATTTAAAAAAAAATTAACAGACTGAGAAAATACGAGCCTGGTATTTAATAAAAGGTGTGGATATAGAAAAGGCTGCAGAAATTATCTGGGTTGTTTGTTTTTACAGGGTAGGTTTTTGTTTTTTGTTTTGTTTTGCTTTGCTTTTTTTGCACACCAAAGGAAGCAAATGGGGGATATTTCTCTCACACACCCCCACCCACTTTGCCCCCATCCTTCCCCAACGGAGTGTGTGAAACCTCATCCTGGGGGAAGGGGCCCTTTAACTCGAATGTTGGGATGGGGCGAAGCGAGGCGTCTTGAATAAACAGCCCCGCATCAAGAGTGTAAATAACTCTCTGCTTAAGAAGGTGACAGGCTCGGGAGAGAGAGAGGGAGACCCCTGCGTGAGTCTCTTGGAAGGGGATTGGGAGCGAGGGGGGGTGGGGAGAAAGAAAGAAAACGGAGAAGTCGGTTCCTTTTGCACGGAACGGTTATACAGCCCATGAAACGCGGCGCAAGCCCATCGCTTAGCCCTTAGATCTTCCGCTCTTCCCTAATACAAACCAGATCTCCGCTATTGTTTATCATCCGGGCTCGTGCCCGACAAGTTATAAATCGTATTGCCCTTTTGATAACGCAGTTGTAATCAGTTAGCATCGCAGCCGGGCCCAATTGTAAAACTGCCTAATTTAATATGTCAGATGTGCCATTAAAACTTTATATATTTATATACATATGTGCATTCCCTCCCCTTCCATCTCCCTTGCCCATCTCTTCCCTAGGAGTGAAATGTCAACAGTGTTATTGTTGTTGTTGCAGTTGCTATTATTATTATTATTATTACTATTACTATTACTATTACTATTATTTGAAATAATGTCTTGGGTTGGAGATGCAGGGCTTTGCTAAGACATCTCTATATTACTCTATTACTATTACTATTACTATTACTATTACTATTACTATTACTATTACTATTATTACCATTACCATCCCTGAGGGATAAGCCCTCCCACTAATGCTTCGGTCTTCGGCACATATGCTTGGGAGTGTCTCCCACGGCTTTGAACTTCGTGAGATTTACTTCGGAATAAGCGTTTTTAGAATGCGGGAAGAGGACATATATGTTTGGCCAAGGAAAGGGACTCTTGTCAGCTCGGGTTTCTTTGAAGAGGGGGAATCACATTCATTGCAAAGGTGCCTTGTGATTAATTGAGCAAACGCCGGGAGAGGGGGGATATTATTTTATTCGGAAAATTCTCTTGCGTTTGCTTGGAAAGTAGAGTTGTGGAAGAAGTCGCTTGGGTTTCAATGGATCTTCTTGGTTGGAGGCGGTTCTCATCGCCCAAATCCATTCTCTCCCCCCACTTTCTGAACCCCCATTAATATAGTGTGGCGGCGGCAAGAGAAATGAAAGGGTGAATCATAAGGCCTGGTGACTTTTTCGAATGTGTAAAAACACACAGCTTTTTTAATCCCTGGCTTTTCTCTCTTCCCCCCACCTCCTTCTAAAACGTGATGGTGTTTGGGAGATTCGTCTCTGAGGAAGCCTGGAGCCCGGACAACAATCGCGGTCCAAGTTAGCCCCAATTTGGATCAAACTTACAGAGGGTTGATTTTGGTTGACAGAGCGTGTGTGGAGGCTGAACTCCCATAATATGCACTTCTGTTCCTTTATTAGGCTTGGACAACGAACTAATGAGCTTTCCATCAGAAGATTGTCACTCCTATTTATTTTATTTTCTCCACCCCTCTTCCGAAGAAAACTTGGAGACCGAGGGAATAGACGTTTTTAAAGGTGTGGGAGCTGGAGATAGCTACTGATGCGCACACACACCAACATCAGGGGGTGGCATTATTATTAGTAGTAGCATTACTAGACAGCGGGCAAGATCCATCGAAAGTTCAGCACTCGGAAAGTCCCATTGATTTGGCTTATGCAGCGCTTCCAAGCATATTGACACAGGGGTAAGGCTCCTGGAGTTGACCGTGATTCTTACCTTAGGGTGGCAGCGATCCTATATACACTGGGTTTGGTATATTACACATAGCTTTGTTGTCCGGCTCGTCCTTAACGTCTCTTGAAATCTCTCTGCCTTTCTTTGTCTGGATGGTCTTAAAAGCCACCGAGAACAAGTGTCCCGAAGGAATGGCAAAGGTCAGAACATCTCTCTTTTTGCGCCCTGTTGTTGGGTTTCACTAGGATTCCTTAGGTCGATTTCAAGGTAGCTGGCGAAGGAAAACTTCCCCAGCGGACAGGGAAGTTTGGGCCGTTTCTGAGCCCGAAGGACGCCTCGCGGCCCCAAGTTTAAAGAATCTGATAGGAAGATGAGAAACGGGAGGACAGAATGAGAGGAGTGCTGGCTGGTTGGAGGGGAGGGGACGGGACGGGACGTTGATCCCATCTCTCTGCGAGAAATAGGTGCCCACGGGACTCCATTAACCTACCTGGAAGGCGATTAAAAAGAAAAAGAAAAAACTAACCTGAGGCAAAGCGGAAATGAAATAAAAATTATATCAAGAGATATAATCGAATTGTTTACAGAACAGAGGCAGTAATACATGTTACCCTCCCCCTCCCTGCGGCTCTTTATTTTCTTTGGATCTCGATTTTTTTTTAATCCTTCCTTTACAAATTTCTGAATATTGTCTTTTGAACTGAGCCCTTTACCTTATTAAGGTGAGCGCGCGCGGGGTGCTTGTGTGTACAGAGGGAAAGAGAGAAAGGGGGGGGGTCGATTGCTGCAATCCTCTTTGAAACATGCTTCGTTTAACTATTTTACACAAGTTTGCTTAGATCCCTGGGGGATTCTTCACTTAGAGAAGGTTGATACTAGAGTTAAAAGCTTGCGAAGTGAGGGAGGAGAGAAAAAAATCAGAGGTTGTGGTGGATCATATCTAAGGGGGGGGCTTATCACACGTGGGTGGCAATAATAATAATAATAATAATAATAATAATAATAATGATCCATCTGAAATTGAAACAGTGGCCACTCAACTAAGGAGAAATAGACCAAATTGAAATGAGCAAAGGTATAAATAATATCCTGCAGTCATTTAAGTTACACCCTAACTTTTCCTCTCTTTAGGTCTGATTCTCGGTCTTAGTTTCCCCGCTCGTTTTCTCCTCCAGCAAATTGATGTTAACGTGTGTCTTAGACTTTGCCTGTAATCAGACGCCCCCCTTCCCTCCCTCCTCTATTCTCTCTCCCTCTCTCTCTGAAGCATTTAATAAATGTCTATTAACGCGCTCCAAACCTAAGGTGAATTTACTGTCTCCCGGTTTCCAAACGGTACTAATGATAGATTTATCAACAGGGACTCGCCTCCAAGCGCTGTAAGGGAGACCCGCTCAGCGAATAAGTATGACGAAACACCCAACACCAATATCATTATTTCTACATGGGGGAAAGTACTGGAGGGTGGCGGCGGAGATGTGTCAGGGTATCATCTGAATTAATTAATCGGAATTAAAATCGGGTTGGGGGCAATCCTTTCTGTTTTGGTACCGCGCCTTGGATGCAATCTTCTTTCTTTCTCGTTTTGGAACTGTTGTTTCGGAGCTGAAATTAAGACACACGATCCTGGTTTGGATGGTTTTCTCTTTCTTCCGGGTGCCTTATTGTTGTCCGCCGCCCCCCTCCCTGCCCCTGCTTCCCAGGTTGCGGATAAAGTAACAGCCCTCTTCACGTTTCAGACCTGCGGAGAACTCAGTCTTAAATTTCCTTGTTGTGTTTTGAGAATATATTTATTGTCTCCCCCCAAAAAAACCCCGCGAATAAAATCCATTCAAGACTGGAGTGACCTCGCCTTGATGCGCTTCCGTTTTCTAACTTCTTCCATTCCTGGAAACATTTAAGGAAAAGGGGGGTTCGTAAAGATGGAAATAGGGGAAAGAAAAACAAATGACTGGGAAAGGAGAATGAGCCAGCCCAGAGAAAGCCAAATTTGAGACGAAGGGCCGTTGCAGTCTACGGAGCTAAGGCCATGCGCCGGCGATCCTCTATGCACATTTACCTGGAAGAAAGTCTCTCTGAAATAAGGAGAACCACGAGTAAACGTGCGTGAACCAGACTTTGGAAGGGCCTTAGCGCAGCGGTAGAGCGTCTGCCTTGCACCCAAGAGTTCCCAGGTTCATATCCCCGGCATCTCCAGGTACGGCTGGGAGAGCCATTTGTCTAAATCCCTGGAGAGCCGCTGCCAGTCAGTGTAGGCAGCTTTGTATGTGCCTCTGTTCCACCAGACTGGAGGCATATTTACTGAGAAGTAAGCACCTGTCAGCTCAATGACTTTTGTTTCTGAGGAGGCCACCTTCACAAAAAAACCCACCACAGTTGGAATCGATGCATCTTTCCTCGGAAGTGAGGTCCACTGAGTTTAATGGGCCTTACTCCGAAGGAGGTCTGCATAGGTTCGCAGCCTCAAGTCAAAACCACCTTCAGCTGGATTGCGCCCGGTGTGTAGGTATCCTATATATATGGGCGTAGTGTGGATAAAATGAAACAGAACCTAGCTCTCTGGATCCATTGTTACTTTAGGCTGCGATCCTATACACGCTTACTTGGGAATGTGTCCCATTGCACTTGGTGACTTGCTTCTGTGTAAACACGCTGTTTACTACACATCTCTCCCCTCAACGGCATTATCTACAGTTTCCGCCCTTATTCTGGGGAATATTTCATAGGACCCTCTAGGATCTGTGCTGTTGGGTTTCTTAAGCGACAGGTATACCTAGCTCTTCACAACCGCTGTAAGTCTATGAACCTCGTTTCCCTCCAGGAACGATCCCTTCCCAATATTTCACTTCTCTCCACTATCCCTATTTCAGTGTACAACTCTCTCATTCCAATGCTGGGTATTTATTTTTTATTTATATATATTTTTTTTAAAAGAGGTAGCTGTGAACGCATTTTGCACTGTAAATTTCTTATAAAAAGTAAAACCTTGTGAAATCACACCAAGCTCCTTTGCAGTTTTTTTTTTAATTCTCCTCTAGAAATTTCATTGAGATGTCTCCTGTACTGTGCTTGTCAAGTGATCTTTGTTCCTCTTCAAATAAAGGGCTTTTAAATGGACTTCTGGCTCCCGTTTTGTTGTTGTTGTTGGGTTTTTTTTCTTTTTCGTCTTCTGTCTTTCTAAACGTTAGAAAATTGTGCCATCTACCAGCTAATCCAAGTACTGTCGCTCTCGGAGACCTCCAAAGACCTCCAAACCCTCACCCTCAATGCAGCCGTGTCAAGGGGGTGGGCCAAGAAGGGGGCCTAGTGATGGAAAAAAATACAAGGCTGCTCAGGATGCAGAGTTTGTTCTGCTTTTAAAGACATATTTCTTTTATTTTTATCGTGAGAGTAGGGGAGACAGAAACCGGGAGTGCAAAGACATATAGTCAAGAAGGGAAGAAAATACATTTGATTCCGTTTCTGGAACGAGTCACGGTTGGTGTCCACGGCTACCCCATCTAACCCAGCCCTTTTTAACCAATTTAGCCGGATTTTTAAGACGGACTTGGAGGATGTAGGGAGAAAGATCGAGAAACACATGCAGCTGTTTTTATGTCCGTTGCACGCCTCGTCTGGTGCTTGCACCCACATGGAAATAGATTTCTGAGGACCCAGAAAAAGGGTAGCCTATTCTTCATAGATATTTGTTAGTAACACCGTTCCCCCCCCAACCCCACAAATTATTTAACTTCGAAATAAAGCTGGCCAAATCGTGTGCAGGAAGATACAAGTAGCCGGCAAGCCTTGCAATCTAACGGTTGCGTTCTAGGACATTGGCTCAGGAGCTGGAGTTTTATGGAAATAGCCATCAAGTCCCCATAAACCGGGGACCTCCTTACAAGAGGGGGCGGGGAGGTGTCTCCCCTGAACCGGACTAGGATTGCATTTTCGTTCGCTTGCTAGTTCGGTGGGGTGGTTCCCCCTCTCTCCAGGGACAAAAGGAGAACCGAACCCCACACACATACCCCTTTCCTCTTGCCGAAATAAATTTGGAATTTTGTTGCTGCTGCTGCTGTTTCACCTGGCTGGGTGGAAAGTGAAAACCTGAGCATCCTTTCACCCTTCCAACATGAGGCGGATGGGGAGCTGGCCTCCTGCGTTACACACATTAAATTGGAATCTACTTCAAGGAAGGCTGTGCTGCGGGATGCAGTCTCCGAAGGAAATGATCTGTAAAAGCTCGGAGTGAATAAACTGTAACGCAGGCCTCGAAACACCTCCACGTTTGATAAATGTTGTTTTATTTTATTGCTGAGGGTGGGGGGGGGAGGGAGAGAAACACTAAGGGAACTATCCAAACGCATTGATTTCAACAGGGAGTTCAGTGCGCTTACGTTCTCCTGATCGGAATAAATCGAATGTCCCTTGACCCCGGTCCGCTGTCCTCTTACTTAAGAAGCAAGCCGCCCTTATTCAACTTTTACAGAGTAAACAAGTACTGGACCGTAACAAGGAAGTGTCTACAAGGTATCCTCTTAAAATAACACCAAAAAAACAAAACAAAAAAACTTTTAACGGATCAGCAGATACCAGCTGGTATTGCTTCGCAATAATTTTCCCCACACACTTTTGGGTACAGACTAGGGCTTTTAACATTTATTATCGCTGTGTGTGTGTCTTATGGGAGAGGGGGGATCAGGAACAGATAAATATTTTCTAGGATGCTTCGCACTCTTCCGAATATTGTTCTGTAGAGAACTCCAGCCTCGATCAGAAGACGTTGGCCTTGGAATCCTAGCATAAATTTCGTCGCTATACGACAACCGAAAGAGAGCAAGGAGTGAGAACCTAACCACTTCTCAGAGGTTAGTCTCGTTGAGCTTAATGAGGCTTACTCTCAGGTAAGTGAGTTTAGGATTGCAGTCTTAGTTGTGGTGTGCAGAAAATCCTGGCTTTGTATATACGATGTCCTTTACCATAACTACTGGTGAACTTTGAGTGGACCTTCTCTGATTCTGCAAACTGGCTCTATAAAATCGCCTCCCTCTGTGCCCCCCGCCCCTTTCACCACTGCCCCCCCCCGTTTTTCTTTACCGATTTCCTTTCCCAGTAACATCAGATGACCATCCACTACCTACCTCCAGACGCTTGATAGAGCGAAAACTGTTCGAAATCCTACATGGTTGAGAGCGAGTTTTAACCTTTCCACAACTAGGATTGAATTTCTAACAGAAGATGGGAAATGTCCCTCTTCAACTATAAAACAATTAATTTGTATTTCTGATGGCCTGTTGATTAATATCTAATACCCCCGCGCCTTCCTTCTAGGACTGAAAGCATTGAATTTACTCTTTATCGTCAGAAATGGTGCGGCCGGAGGGGCGAACTGTTAATGACATTTTACACATTTCCGAATAAAGGGCAAGTAGCGTACACTGCCCCTCATACTGGTCTGTGAATCCTTCCGAGAAATTCCAGAACCAGCCTGGAAAGGCTCTCTAATGGTTGCTACTAAATAAAA